ATCAAAATCTGTTTTGCCCACATGTAGCCTCTTTTTCAGACGAATTTCACGTAAATACATGATTAATAATCGCTTCTTTTAATAATCAAAACAAACAAAAGTCTAGAAAAAGAAAATTTACACCATCTCGAATTCGCTAATCCTTTCTTTATCTGTTAACATCAATATTGACAAATAATGGTGTCGATAATTCTTATATAAAAGCGTACTATATTTCGCCTAAATCTTGAACCACCTAATCAATCACTTCTATCTTTAAAATATGGCGTAGTAGTGGAGAGTTCGCTCTGTTAGTGTAGAGATCCTAGTTCGAATCCTTACAAAGGCATTTTTACTTTTTTTCATTGTCTTTGTTTTTAGGATTTTTACAACAAACTGAATTTACGTTCCCCGTGGATTTAATAAGTATTAAGTATAAGACAACACAATCGTGATTAGGGTGATAGATAAGCCATGGAAGAAAACATATATAATACAAATGAGCAAAACTTATTAATAAATATTCAGAATTTCACACAGAAAAAAATTGATGATACAATTCCCTCTGTTCAAGGACAGTTAAAGATGTTCCTAACCCGTGATCTTCATTATCTGAACTCTCAAACCGTTACCCGGATTTTCTTGTCTATATCCACGTTTATTTTTCTATATTGCAATATAAATTCAATATGTATTAATTGATGAAATTGAGCAACCCATTATATCTATAATGGTACGTCCGATTAATGTAAACGTTATCGTGTTCGCGAAATAGCGGAAGTTTATATTAGACTTTCCGATGTCATGTAAGCGACCGCCATTTTTAAAAGTTGTGTATTTCATGCAAGGAAAAAATAAAATGTGTTTGATTCGATGGGATAATTTCATTGAATTTGATAATTCTAAATCTATTCATTTGAAAGAGAACTAATGTGAGGATTGTTACATACAATAAATAATTGTTGGCAGATATGTAAACATTCAAGATGCGACTAGGAATTTGAAAAACATGGAACTTTTTTAAAGGCTGTCTTACGAACTCTTGCTTGTTTACTTATTATTCGGGCTGGTGACTATCATTGTTTTTACACATTTCATTACAATAATTGCTCGTAGGATATTTAGATATTCCAAGATGTCATTAAGAGTAGTTTTGAATGTGAAAGAATTTTTCAGACTGTTGATTTGAAATGAAGTTTTATCTTTTTTATGACGTTTAACACCTTTGCTGTGCTATAAATAGCCCTGATAATGTAGAAATTGAAAGCTAAAATCAGTGAAGTTCCACTTTTAAAAAGTGTGAAATTTTATTTTGATTATGTTCAGTGTGAAATTATCGAATATAATTTTCACGGGTAAAACAATTACCCACTCAAAAACATAAAATAACGATTGAACAAGTACAGTTTGATTTTTAAAACTTTTTATTTGCAACCGTTGGTTTTAACATTTTTTCTTGTGTTGTTGTTGTTCTTTTTGTTTTCTTCTTCATCTTCTTCTTCTTCTCCTTCTTCTTCTTCCTGAAAAGGAAAGATAGTATCAATTAAGTTGTACGCTGATATATTTACATAAGATAAAATGATTTATTATATATAAATGAAATATTGAGAAATATTGGTAAAATAAAATGCGTAATTTTATTCTCCGTATTTTCACTGTAAAAAATATTTTTCACTGCAGTGAAACATATATTCCGTATTTACACTGGTGTCTCACCATCCTACTTTCTTCTTTATGCCGCCAATACACAAAATTAAAAGGGAATTCTTCCTATTCATAAAATGTTAAAAAGAGAAAAGTATAAAATAAACAGAAAATCCAAGTTTTCTCTATCAATTCAGGATTATTTTAATCTTGTTGTATGAAAATTATCATATTTCACTCGTGGCTACTTGAATATTATCTTTTGATTCATACCAAAGGTTATTATCACGTACAATAAACTGTAAACAGCAGAATAACAAATACATTTTTAACATACACTACGTCGCAGCCGTCCTCAATCAATGGCAATAAATCCTGTATTTGTAGAAAAAAAAACTTGAATATCCTCTATGGATATAATAAACAGAAAAATTAGGGTTTTTATTATAAATGCCGAATTTATTTTCATTTTGTGGTTTGAAAATTGTCATATTTCACTCGTAGCTACCACCAATCATGAAAGATATATTTTCAATCTACTCGATGAAAATAAATCCGGTATTTATAGGAAAAAAAAACTTGTCTTCTATATAATTATGATCATGTGAAAGTTACAAAGACAATAAAAAAACAATTTATAGATTTTTAAATTTAATTTTTTTCAGTTTAACTTGCAAATAGAAAGGATAAGTGCACATCACATTATACAGACTTGTTTATGCTCTGCAGATTTACCTCCCTTATTTTGACTTAAATCAAATACATAGAAAACAAAAAATCGACTGAGTAAAATTGTCCAAGTCGATCTATGTAAGCTTTTAAAATTTTATGTCTGAGGCCTTCAGACCTAAGTTGAGCTCCTTAATGTTTCAATTTCAGCGGCACACGAAATACATTTTGATCATATACAAATATAAAACAAGATATGTTTGTAAAACATGTATGCCCCCTATCGGCAGCCAATTAGTCATGTGATCAGGTATCATAATTTTTGACCTAGTGGACAAAAAATCAATAAGGGTTATCTACTGGTAATGACTAGTCACAAGGAAATAATAATTGTGACTGCATAGGTTGTGTGCAGCAATTTAAATTATTACAAATTTTACCAAATAGTATATATGCATAAGTTTTATGAATCATGTAGGCCTCATTAATGACAGCCAAGTTGTTATATTACATAAGACCTTCAAATGTGTATACGAGAAGCATTTTAAGTTTAATATAATAAATATCAACCAAGGCAACTTGAGTTGTTGAGTTATTGGTCAGAAACCGTCTTTAAGTACAAGGTCAATATGACACTGGCCCCTTGACCCCAAAATCAAAAGGGGTCATCTTCTGGCCAAGACCAATGCACCTACAAAGTTTGAGGGCCAGTTGCTATGGGCTTGTCAAGTTTTTGATCAAAAAACCCTCTTTTTGGAGTGGGAGCATAAAAAATAGTAAAGAACTGTTCGAATAACTGTTGCAGCAATATTATATAAAAATTACACACTCGGTTTGATTTATAGCCTGTTCAGGAGATAAAATGGAGCAGAGCAACATACATCATGCCCCCTAGCACCGAATTAAGCGATATTGAATGTTCAACACTCAATGTTCTGGACTCACTTAAAAGGATGGAAAATATCACATATATAAAGGTTAGTACTTTAGTTGACGTGACTGTAATAAAAATGTTTCTATTAATAAACAATTGCAATAAAAATAAATAAATAAGAAATTAAAAACTACATTGATATTTGAAGCTGAGAAGAAATTCAGACTTTCGAACCAAAAATATTTAAGAATAGTTTTACATTTTCATTTCTTAGCATTATTTTATCATTTCTAGCTGCGTATTTTATAGTAGTATAATTACAAGAAGAAAAAGTTCTAAAATATTTTTTTCAAACATGCAAATCATTTTTTTAATTTCATTCTTTTGTCTGAAATCAATATACATGGAGTAACATAACAAGCTGTTGTATTAAGAGTTACCATTATGATAACAAAAATTATATGTTTTTAAGTTTCAATCTATACCATTATATCTGCCAATTTCAATTTCAGGAGAAAGGGAGAATGACAACTCGTTATCAAACTCCTTGCAGCGGTTACTTCCCTTGATCAGTCAAAGATTGAAGGGGAGATCACTGCGTGCAGATTGTTCTTTTATATATGCATCATCAATAACGACATCAAAGTAGTTTTCGTATGTAAATACAGTTTTAAAATGTCTATTATTTCACAATTTACAAATGTAGATTTCTTTACTACAACAGCATTCAGTCTTGAACACATTGCTTAAGTTTTCCTTGTTTAAAAAGTAAACTATATAACAAACATTTTATCTAATCCAGGTAACTTTACTATTGTTAAAGAAACAACAAAACAAGGAGTTTAAATAGGCTAGAGAGAGTTTTAGTAAGCAGACAGATTTGCATCTTCGAAGGCTAAAGGCCAAAAAGCAGCGGATTGCCATCTAGCCTAACAACGGCAATTAATCAGATGTAATATTGTTTTGCATGCTCAATTCAGTTGGTGAACCAACCAATTATTTTCACCGGACCAGTATGCCGAATACGTACCCACTGCCTCACAGTCTGGATTCCAGAATTTAGAGTTAAAACGCATCGCCTTTCTATTTTTTCATTAAAGAATTTGGTGATGTTCCACGTACTAGACACTTGGAATACTGAACCGATTTTAAGGGTCGTCCAGCGTCAAAATTAATATTCCCTCTTATCTTTGATTTTCTTGTGAAATATCTCTTTACGTTAATGACTGTTATTATATATTTGTAACAAAGTAATTGCGTGCGTCTAGATGAGGCAAAATATTTCAAGAAAATCAAACCTGAAAAAAATGTTTTTTTATAAGGTTTTTAGAAAAGTAAAAAGGTTCGAAATTCAAGTTATATTTTTCATGAAAATAATGCGGTTTTAAGACTGATTGTGATTTTGCAGTATTTATCCCAATATATCTACTGCTTGGCTAACGCTATGGGCTATTTTTTAATATTTTAACTCTATTTTGGTAGTTTACTTGGGCTGTAAGTGTCGATTACATTGTTTACATTACTTTCTTTGTTCAATTTTCATTTTTGTACTTTTAAATATATTTTACAATTCTAATTTTGAGAATATAAGCATGATTCTGGAGGCATGCTGATTTAAAAAAGCTTTTGTTTTGCGATAATTTCAACCTGTATCACTCCCTAAAAGTCGATATAAAGATATCTTTGCTTGGTACTCGTGTCTCACATTGTTAAACGTTATCGGTAGATTTAACGGACCAATAGTTAATTTAAATAGGCGGATGTTCTATACGCTACGACGAACTGGGGTATATTTTCTCGTCAATTTGACTTTGGGTCATTTAATATTTGATACTTGTTTACAAAGGTATTTCAAAAATACGACCGTTTTATCAAATATCATATTTCTTCAGTTTCGTTTAAAATGGGCTGGTGTTGAGGTGAATGACTATGAATGTCTTTTCATTTGTGGTATTGAGCTTTGTTTTATGTGGTGGGAGTTATGCACAGTCTGGTAAGTTAATATATTATCAATATGATCAATATATATTTCAAAAAACGAAACTGGTTTAATTATGAACAGATTATTCCGTGTAAATATTTTTTACGGTTAGTTATTCATAGTGATCGAACTATGTTATGTTATGAAATGTTATGTTATGTTATGTTATCTGCATTTTGCTATGTTATTTATATTACGTTTAGTGACTTTATGGTATGTTATGTTATGTTATGTTATGTTAATATGTTATGTTATTTGCAATGAAATAGTCATGAAATCTGTCTCATTCATATTTTTTTATTGTAAAGCATAACAAACCTGCAAAACAATAATGTACAGTTTAATTTTTTACCTTTGGATTGAAATTATGAAAGTCGACTTTAAACTATTCTGTTCAATTGTAAAACCTAGGTTAAAATGCGGTATCCGGTATCCGAACAACTCCCTTTTCATGCAATTCCTAGGTCATATATTTTGACTTATGTTGATTCCCTGGACAACTACCTGTCCGTAGACATTTCTTTTGTTTATATATTATACCATCTCGTGTATGTACATTTATATTTCCACAGTGGAAAGGTTTCCATACATAAATTTATATAAGTAAACATTTAAAAGTAGTTACATTTGAAATTTAGCTTACATATTTTACATCTTAAAACAAAAGTTTTGGTCTTAAATTGATCTATGACTACATAAAAGTTTTTCGTGTTCTTTGAACTCTCAATGGACAACAAAATATATTTATCCACAACTGCCTTGCGCAGTTAAAATACATAATTATATGATAACGTTGATTGCTGTCAAAAGTAGCTAGTAAGTTTAGTTATTTTCGGTTATAGTTTCCCCATTTTTCGTTAAATTAAATTGCGTGCAAATAGAATATCAAGGTATCCGACATTTTCAATATTATTAAGAACAGTACCTTCTGTGAACGCCAGTGTGGAGTTATTGTCTTTACACGAGAAGATTTGTCCGAAATGAGTAAATAATGGGAGAAGAATCGTCAAGGATGATGGAATTGTCCGGAGTGTGAAAATCACGGATAGGGAATTTTCCGGGGTGAGGACATGACGGGAATGGGAACTGTTCGGAGGAAGTTGTCTTTGGAGTAAAAAAAAAACGGGAGAGGGTGGTTCTCGGGGGGGGGGGGGGAGAGATGACAAGATCTAGAGGGGTAATTTAAATGAAGATAAAATAATCGGAATTTATCCGGAGTAAACATACAATTGGAAGGCAACTGCTAGTAGTAAAAAAATATTGGAAGCAGCCTTGTCCGGGAGAGGGGAATTTAACGGGATGTAAAAACTACAAATTTAACGAGAAATAGCGGATAATTTGGCATGATCATTATCAAAGTTCTCGTTATTTCTAAGGCGTGCTTTGATTCAAATAAGATGAAATGATTATGACAATTCCAGCAATATATGTCCCTTTTCTTTTTTATTATTTATGAATGTTATTTCTGCATTAACAGAGCAGAGTTGCAACACTGCATTGACACCTTTGCTACGTGACGATCAGTTCTCAGCGTCATCTGAATACAACACAAAACATAACGCAAGTGCAGCTAGGAAGGATGGTGGTGAGTTATCAATTATGTATAATTAGTTTTAGACTTTTTCAAAGTACAATGCTGGTAAAAGTTTTCATTTTCTGTCAAAAAGCCACATGCAAATATTCATCTACATACAGTAGTCTTTTTGTAGCGGTGTGGCCGAGTGGATAATGCGTCTGACTGGCTATATCAGGATTGTTGGCCGCGTTGGTTCGAACCCCATCATGAACAAGAAACTTTATCCAAATTTTTAAGTTACTGTACTGGTTTGGTTCCAGGAACGTATCCGAAAGTGTTTCAGTATGCTTATAGCGTTCGATAGATCAAATTAAAATTAATTCGTAAAAGCTTCATATGAGCCGCGTCACGACAAAACCAACATAGTGGGTTTGCGACCAGCATGGATCCAGACCAGTCTGCGCATCCGCGCAGTCTGATCAAGATCCATGCTGTTCGCTTATCAACTCTATTACAAGTGGAGAAACTGACAGCGAACAGCATGGATCCTGATCAGACTGCGCGGATGTGCAGGCTGGTTTGGATCCATGCTAGTCGCAAACCCATTATGTTGGTTTTGTCGTGACGCGACTCATTGTGACCGACTACCCACCGTGATTTTTATAAACCCCAAGCACTCGTCAAATAAATTAAAACTACCGACAAAACGACTTTTTTTAATATAGATAAATCTACTGTGTATTAGTTATTGATATAAACAGTAGATACATCTCTTTTTCTTTTTTTTTCAAAAAAAAAAATGTCGTTTTGCCGGTAGATTTTTATTGTTTGATAATTGTTTGTGTTATAGAGAAAGTTTATAAAAAAATTACGGCGGGTACTCGGTCAAAAAATATTTTTGCCATCAAAGCTGCAAATGCTTGCAACAGTGAAAAATGAAAGTAAATTTCTTGCTCTAAGATATAAGCAATTTTGTTGGCATGATTCGCAAGCCAAACCTGTCAGTTTCAAAGTGGTCGTTATGACACCTAACTACCAATCCGCACAAATTATTTAGATAAGATGTAAAAATAATTGCTGTGACAAAATTACACCGCATATCCCGATTGAAAGCGTCGCGAATTATAGTTATTTTAATATATCAATAAATATCCGTAACGCCATATTTCGTGTGCTATGCAACACAGGAATTAATTTTCATACAGCTTCCGCGTAATATATACGTTTGTTACCCCAGAGTGTGCCTTTTCTCGGTATTTCCTTATTCCGTGAAGATAATAATTTGAACAACAATCATGATTATTTACGTGAAAAGAACGCAACTTAGGTCGAAAAGCCTTCATTCAAAAATTTATACAAAGACCATCTGGAACACTTTTAAAGGCAAAATTTGTAAAAAATATAATCATGAAATTACATATATACTCAGGAAATCGAAACTTGATTGTTATTTTTATTTTCTTTTTAAGATGTTTAAATACGTTTCATTTAAAGATCATTTTGGTTACAGTAATGTACGTGCTAAAATTGTAAATTACATGTTTGGTTTGTTGCTCGAATATCAGTTAACAATAATATTAATGTGATTAGTTTAGAAATACTAACAGCCAAGTAGTGTTCAGTCAAAAATGTGTGCCATTTAAACAATAGCCTAGTCATAAGCAATTCATTAATGACAGCAATGCTGCCTCGTGGTTGGTATTTTTCAAAGGAAGTGCTAATAATGTGTGATTGAAAGGTCCATTAGATGGTTACACAATGTGGTGAGGTAGTTAGCAATGTGTCTGGATAGGCAATCTGGATCCGGTTGTTCAAAACACTGGTTAGTGTTAACCAGTGGTTAACTTCATTATCCGCTGGTTAAATTTTGTCTGTTGGATAAATTCTGTTGCTCAAAACTAATCCAACGGATAAAATGCGTTATCCAGCGGTTAACTTTAACCAGTCCTATGACCACCGGATAATGCCCTTAACCAGTGGTTAGTCATCATCATTAAAACAGTAAAAATCATTAAAACGTGTTTAAAACCAGATTTTTCTTACAAATATATGTTTATTTTTCTTAACTAGACCATTTCATATAAAATGCATAGGATTAAATTGAAGCATTTTTGAAAAAGTGCTTTTAGAACCCTTTTTCAATCTAAATTTGTTGTTGTGTAGTTCAGAAAATTCAGTTAAATAGTCATAACTTTCTTATTCTTTAATAAAACATACAAGTGTCAGTACTCATTTTCTTAGTTAAAACATTACTCATCTAATGGAAGTAATTTCAATTCAAAATTTGAAAAAAAGTTGTTTTTGAATTTTTTTCTTATGTGTGTCTGAGGGAAAAATAAATCTATCAATACTTTAAGGCCTTTGATATACTTTTTGTTTAATTCCAAAAACAAAAAAGCACAAAACATGCAAAATTATTTTTTGGGAGCTTTTTGATCATGATAAATTTATTCTTCATCAAAAAATCGGCATTTGGTTCCAGAATCACTAATCAACCCTGTTGCATTGTGGTACTTAACCAGTGGATAAATACTCTATCCACTGGTTAGGTAGCCAGTGTTCTATCCAACTGTCGAACAATGAAATTTTATCTACTGGATAGCTGACCGCTGGTTAAGGGTTTAGCCAGTGGATAAGCTATCCATTGGTTAATTTTAACCAATGTTTTGAACAACCCGGTCCAGATGATTTACGACGTTAATCCAGCTATTATGTCTGATAGGTGAATATCTGAAAGTTGGATTAGATATTACACCTCAATAACTTAGGATCAATCAGATATTTACACCAAAATATAATAAGGATCAATCACATATTTACATAAATATATCCTAAGGATCAATCAGATATTTACACGAAAATATCATAAGGGTCAATCAGATATTACATCAATATATCCTAAGGATCAATCAGATATTTACACGAAAATATCATAAGGGTCAATCAGATATTACATCAATATATCATAAGGATCAATCAGATATTTACACAATAACCATAAGGGTCAATAAGATATTTACATCAATATATCATAAGGCTCAATCAGATATTTACATCAATATATAACAAGGGTCAATAAGATATTTACATCAGTATTTCATAAGGGTCAATAAGATATTTACATCAATATATTATAGGGGTCAAAGGTATATTTACATCAATATGTCATAAGGGTCAAAAAGATAATTACACCAAATTATCATAAAGGTCAAAAAGATATTTACACCAAACTATCATAGGGGTCAATCAGATATTTACATCAATATATCATAAGGGTCAGTAAGATATTTACATAAATTTATCATAAGGGTCAATAAGATATTTACACCAAAATATCATAAGGGTCAAACAGATATTTACACAAAACTATCATAGGGGTCAATGAGATATTTACATCAATATATCATAAGGTTCAGTAAGATATTTACATTAATTTATCATAAGAGTCAATAAGATATTTACACCAAAATATCATAAGGGTCAAAAAGATATTTACACCAAAATATCATAAGGGTCAATCAGATATTTACATCAATATACAATAAGGGTCAATAAGATATTTACATCAATATATCATAAAGGTCAATAAGATATTTACATCAGTATATCATAAGAGTCAATAAGATATTTACATCAATATATCAGAAGGGTCAATAAGATATTAACACCAAAATATCATAAGGGTCAATCAGATTCTACATCAATATACCATAAGTGTCAATTAGATATTTACATCAATATATCATAAGGGTCAATAAGATATTTACATCAATATATCATAAGGGTCCATAAGATATTTACATCAATATATCATAAGGGTCAATAAGATATTTACATCAATATATCATAAGAGTCAATAAGATATTTACATCAATATATCATAAAGGTCCATAAGATATTTACATCAATATATCATAAGGGTCAATCAGATATAAAAGCAATTTCTTTCGTAGTCAATCAAGCATGCTCTCTTTTTCCTTTTTTTTCTGCTCAGTGCAGCTCGACAATTTTAAAGCTCCGCCATTTTCTCATTAACTATTCATGAGAACTACGTCACGCTTCCGAAATAGGCCGAACCAACATCGTACACGCTTGTACACCAATCGCAACTACTCGGCCCTTTCCGTCAGTCTTCGGATAAGGACCTCGAACACAATAGTATGAATACACAGAACGGATGCGGTATTTCGGTCTATCCTACGCTAAGAAACTAAACATGTAAACAAATAGTAATTTAATGCTGGGAGTTGTTGACAAGTTTATTTCCAATATATGTAGTAAAAGTCCACCTAAAATAAGTGAATTCATAGGTGCAAAAGCAAACAATACATTATTTATATATTTATTATTATGGTTGTAGAAACCGAAAGTACAAAAACCCAACCTGTTGACATTTGGCCGGATTTGTTTAGAATTGAACATGAGTGGGCATATTTAAATAACAAATTGTTGTCAGACATATTTTCAAGCATAAGAGTACCGGAACAGACATTAGATTTCAAATATATACATTCGTTTTACATTATCTCTGTTTCTGTTCACATCTGAAACCACGTGGTAGAACTACTTTCAATCCGTATTGCTTCCGAGGTTATTATAGATAATAGCCGAGGCAGTTCCGAATGGCTTGTACACTTCCGAGTGAACACCTAATTATTTTCTGACCATAAGAAAATAAAATATGGCTCGATATATCGAGTTTAAATGTTGTAACCAGACCACATCTATCATTGAAATTTGGGCATTACGATAAAATATACTCTTCTTTGTAATGGTATATTCTGTAAAGTATTAACACATGTGTGTCTCTGTAGTAAGTCCAATATTAAGCCAGTCACCAAAGGATCAATCTGACATTATTGACCTCACATGTTATATTTTATAATATTATATGGGTTGTATTTCAAAGAGGGATGGAGCGCATCACACGGCGGGATCTATGAATATCTCAAAGTGGATCTAGAGTCGATCAGGGAAATATCATCACTTGATGTACAAGGTTCGAGCATAGGCTGGTATCCTAGATCGTTTAGGTAAATATTTTATCCATATCGATCAATTTATATTTATAAAGGATATTGCATTTTAGACTGTGCTACTTAAAGAGAGACATAGGCAGATATTTGAGCCGCGTCATGACAAAACCAACATAATGGGTTTGCGTCCAGCATGAATCTCAGACCAGCCTGCGCATCCGCTCAGTCTGATCAGGATCCATGCTGTTCGCTTACAAACTCCATACCAAGTAGAGAAACTGATAGCGAACAGCATGGATCCTGATCAGACTGCGCGGATGTGCAGGCTGGTCTGGAGTCATGCTAGTCACAAACCAATTACGTTGGTTTTGTCGTGACGCGGCTCATTTTTCATTTCAATATTCTATTAAATATCATCAAAGTATTATGCATTAATTCAGAAGACACGTGATCAAAACGTTTCTCCTTACAAAGAATGAAATGGTGGTTTTCCAACTTGACCCACGTGGGTCAGCTTTAAGCATTTAGATTTTAGAATAGTTGTTATAGAGAACTATGAATGAATGACTAAGACTTATATTAATCTAACAATATCCACAGTATTTGTCGGCGACTTAATTTTGTTCAGCAAATAAAGATATAATAAAGTTTCAAGCTCAAAAAATATAGGATGTATACAGAAATTCATGCTAAGACTTTTAGAATTGTACTTTTAGCATGATTTAAGAAAGTCAGATCTATTCTATAAAGAAGAATGGCGTATACATGCTAGTTAAATCTGATGCTCTTTTCGATCGATTCCGCTTGGTTCAGGTTATTATGAAAGAAAGGTGTAAACATTCTATTTGATTGATTAATCATACTAAAGATGCTAACTTAATATATATTTCTTCTCACCAAATTGTAACTATATATTACTATTATCCTAAGAATGTTATATAGCCGTTTTCCATTATGTATTTGCATATGTTTATGTATGTATACTGCTGATGTTTCCCGCTATTGTGGGACTTATGCATTTTGTAAATAAATTGAAATTGAAATTGGATTTGAAGCCACAGCGTTAAGGGGCAACTGATATGTTGTGATTAGCAACTTGGCCACCCATCGCAAGTTTAAATTTGTTAACAGCTTCTTCTTGTTAACAATGACAAATATACAATATGATCCACAGCAGCAACACATTTTATTGGACCTTAAACCCTATTTATCACTTAAAGGCCCATTATGCCTCAGTAATGCTATCTTTTTTATTTTTCAAAAACGTTTTCTTTTATTTTTGGTATCTTGTTACAGTTTCAATTATTCTTTTGTCACATAGATGAACTTTGCTCTTTTGAAAATTTGGTATGATGAAAAAGAATTAGTACTTTGTATGGAAGTTAACATTTTGCTACTTTTACTATCCATTACTTCAGCGCTACTTTTGCCAGTCGTAAAAAATCTTACTTGCTCTAAATTCATTATTAAAACATTTTTAAATACATGTTTGACATTTCTTAAGGATTAAAAAGTATGAACATAATGTGCCTTTAAAATCTTAATTTTTGAACGATATAAGATATGGAAGTCCAAATGAATATGTTATAGGGTAAGCTACAGCAATGATGGATATGTTTGGACCGGCTACAACACGCGCCTGTCTAATGACGTCATGGGAGAGATCTTCTTTCGGAAGGATTCGGTCACAACAATACAATTTGATCCAATTATAAAGGTATGTTATAAACAAGTAATGTTTAATGTATATCACGTTTTAAGAGATTTCGATCTATATGTTAGTACTATTTTCCACATTCATTTGGTGATACATATTTATTCAACATAACATTTAACATGAGAACAAAATTTACAAAATACATTTTGAGATTGAGCTGAAAGCTAAAAGTTTATGTGTGCCCTCTCTCCACATTCATTTGATCTACATTTGATCTACAAACTGTACTTTACCTTTCCTTTCATCTTCCTTGTACATTTACTTCTATTTATATTTTCTCACTGCTCGACTCTCGTCTCGTTCCGGTTTTTTTGTTGTTTTTTTTTGTTAGTTTTTTGCAAAAAGTTCTTGCCCCGTACTTCCTGTCGTGATCATTGATTCCAGCACTTTTAAGTGTTGAATAAAATGAGTACCGCTCAAGCCGGTTGCTGGGGGCGTGAGAGATTTTGCACTTTTTGATTTTCCCAATAAAACGAGCAATAAAATACGAGAATGTTTTAGTCATTTGTGTGTGATACAATTGAATCAGAGGTTCAGATTCGAAAATAATATCAATTTAACACAATTTTATCAGTAGTAGTAGTGGTGGTGGTGGTGGTAGAAGCACTAGCACTAGAAGTAGCTGTAGAAGCAGCAGCAGCAGTAAAATTAGGTCAATTACAATGTCTGCTACTTGTGTCGACTTTGATCATTTACTGCTATCCCCAATTACAACATAATTTTCCTGTCATTATACCTGTCAAACTACATGTATATGGCGGCTGATTTGTGCCATGTCGTATTTTCGACACCACTTTGTCGTATTATCGGATTTTTGCATTGCACCCCTCGTAGCAAAAGCACGAAAAAGTGGTGACTTTATCGTGTATATTATCGTGTTTTCGTCTTTGCGCCACGCGGAGCGAAAATAGGACAAGGAACATAATATAAGTACCTTACCATAGTATTGGAAACTTAAACTATGCCGTCAAACACTTTTTGACAAAAGTCGATACTATATCGAATTTCGTTCATAGTCGACTTCTATTTTTCGTAGTACTTCATAGAACCGCGTAGTGACGTAATTAAGTGGATAATAATGAGGCCAAATAAAGTTTGACACTAAGTATGTTAGTATTCATCCGCAGCTGTTCTACAGAAATTAGAAACATTCCCTGTCGCTATCGCTCCCGTCGAAGTTTCTAATTTCTGTAGAACAGCACTGATGAACCACAGGCACGAGTATCGGACCTGGGAAGAAAAAATATGACCAGATTGATAAAAAACCTGTGTTCATCTTAAAAGTGTCAAAAAATTTAAAAAAAATGTTAATAATGACCCCCTTTAAAAATATACTATAAGTTAAGAGAAGGCCGGAAACTCCAGATTTGAGCCTACGAGCAAGGGATTCATTTCCCGGGCCGATGTGAAAACAATTGGTCAGACAATTAAAACAAACTTTAATCACTATTTCACGTTTGTATTAAGCTTCAAAATGAGACCGACCCCAAGTCTCTAGCCCTTCCCGTTCATGAAATATCTATCAGGAAACGAGCGAATTCGTGCTTAAAATCCTTGGTAGACAGAATTGCGGCACAACAATTCGGTACGTAAACATAGACTAATACATGTATGTCAGCTGAGTACGGGTCAAAATCACTTGAATTTACCAAATAATATTACTAAATACATTAAGTTGGACCACTCACAACTGTCAGTAGCATCTGATACACACGAGATTCGAGTTTCAAACCATTCCACGGTCTTTAGATTCCTTTCTACGCCATTGTCAAACAGCTGTTCGATATTTTGTAACGAGTCTTCTGATTGGCCAATAGCAACGAAAACCGCAACGTTTCACACAAGGATGCCTAATGGCGTAGAAAGCGATTGAAAGACCGTGTAAATGTTGAAACTCGAATCTTGTGTGTATCAGATGCTACTGACAGTTGTGAGTGGTCCAACTTAATGTATTTAGTAATATTATTTAGTAAATTCAAGTGATTTGACTGACAAACATGCATTAGTCTATGTTTACGTACTAAATTGTTGTGCCGCAATTCTGTCTATCAAGGATTTTAAGCACGAATTCGCTCGTTTCCTGATAGATATTTCATGAACGGGAAGGGCTAGAGACTTGGGGTCGGTCTCATTTTGAAGCTTAATACAAACGTGAAATAGTGATTAAAGTTTGTTTTAATTGTCTGACCAATTGTTTTCACATCGGCCCGGGAAATGAATCCCTTGCTCGTAGGCTCAAATCTGGAGTTTCCGGCCTTCTCTTAACTTATAGTATATTTTTAAAGGGGGTCATTATTAACATTTTTTTATTTTTTGACACTTTTAAGATGAACACAGGTTTTTTTTTATCAATCTGGTCATATTTTTTCTTCCCAGGTCCGATACTCGTGCCTGTGTGATGAACACTAACATATACATAGAATGACTCAATAAAATTTTCTTTTTCTAAAGTTAGTAAGTGACTTTTACTGGCTGTTAAATAAACAAATTGTCAGAATAATCGTATAGTTTCACCGTAGATATTATTTTACAACGAGTTAATGTTTTCCTACAGCGATTGTCAGAATACTCGTACAATTTCACTTTACAACGAGTTAATTTTTCTCTACATATGTAGTATAAAGCGTATAAAATTGATCTACATGTAAATGTCAAGTATCATATATGCGAGTTTTGGGAGAGATTTTAGATCAGTTAAGAAGGCACACTTATTGTGTGAAGCGTTAATTGTTTTGTTGAGAGGAGAATTTGTTTGTTGATTTGTTGAAGTTGTTTGCAATCAATTGTGGTGATCTTAATTGATCAGGGTTCATTGGTTGTAATTAGTTGTTTTGGTTGTTGTATTTTTATTTGGTTGTTGAGTTATATCTGTTTGGTAAGATATACTTGGTTGATATTGGTTGAATGTTTGGAGTGATTTTGTCTTGTCAAGATTATATTAGTTGACGCTTTGTTTTTGTGGATTTCTGTTAATATTGGAAGCTTTAGTTTAAGTTGTTTCCTGATGCTGATTAGATTTTGTGAAATTAATATTGTTGGATGAATGTTTGTGGTTTATACTGTATCTTAGAGTTGTAGAAATATTCATTTTGTGTTGTTCAATTTTGTGGTGATTTTATTGTTTTGTTTGACCATAAGTTGTTTAGAGCTGGCTAGTATTGTTTCGTATAAAAGACGTACATTTAACTTATAATCCCTTAAAACAAAAAAATTTGTCACGATGACGTAAATAATTACAGAGGTATTACTCTTGTTAGTTGTATGTCAAAATTGTTTACTACTGTTATAAATAATCAAATTGAGAAATTTTGTAACGAACATAACACTATTTCGGATGCTCAATTTGATAGGAAGGTCTACTGTAGATGCGATATTTGTACTTATGTCATTAGTTGAAAAATATTTGAATGAAAATGAAAGATTATAATTATATTATATTTGTTGATATGATGAAGTGTTTTGATTCTATTGATGGAAATGGTTTATGGTTAAAAATGTATAATTTGGAATACAGGGTAAATTATTAAGAATTGTTCGTGATATGTACCAGAAAATTAAGTCTTGTGTTAAACTTTGTTCAACTTATTCTGAATATTTCCAATATGCTGTTGGTCTCCGTCAAGGGGAGGTAATGTCACCTCTACTATTTTCAATTTTTGTAGAAGACATTGAATTGTATCTTCAAAACAATCCGACTCAGGTTTAATATTAGATGATATTGTTTTAATACTTCTACTTTTTGCAGATGATATGGCAATTATAGGCAAAAGCCCTGAGGAAATACAGGAACTTTTAGATCTTTTGTATTCATATTGTAACAACTTTGGCCTTAAAGTAAATACAACAAAAGCTAAAATAATGGTATTTACAAAAAGAGGTCGTATTTTACCAACTGAGCAATGGAACTATAAAGGCTAAAATATTGAAGTAGTTAATGATTTTAATTATCTTGGGACAGTTTTGGGGGAGGCTATGCCTCCCCAATGTTAATAACCGTCCGTCAAATCTTACTGCCGCGGTAATCAGGTCAAAAAATAGTACCTTGATTTTTTCTAAGCTGACTCATCACTCATCACAGACATTTACAATATGAAAATATTTTCATTCTTTTATTTCATATTTGCAATTTGTAAAGATAATAATTCTCTGAAAAATTCTTGATTTTTGTTTGTTATTTTTTCAAAATCACTACTCCGTGACGTCATACTGCCGCGGTAATCAGGTTTAGGCATACGTACGTCTGTAATAAATAGTTCTGGTATGAAAACCCTTCTACATAATAACTTTATCAATAATTTTTTAACAAAAAGCATAAATGAAAATTTATAAGTAAATACTTTAATTAGGTGGCAAATATTCTTTATTATTTTTGATAACAATTTTCCAATTACTACGCAGCGACCAACTGTTTATGACGGGTCATTAACTAGAACGTTGCAACACCGTAGTCTCAACATCATGCATGTTCTTTTGTTGATATAAACCATTTTAATAGTCCTTAATATTTTTTAAAGACAAATAATGGTAAATTGTCGCTTACATCAGAGACATGGATCGTGCTTGCGTGATAACTAAGGAAAACTAACTTATTAGTACACCCTAGGAGGCTGTACGCGGAAAACGCTCATAAACCGCTATATCATATAGCTGTAAAGTGAACAGTTAAATGACAGAAATATGTGGTCAAATATGTTTTAACAAGGAAATAATTTTTTCAGAGAAAGACGCAAAGATCAGTCTTCAATCAAATGAATGACCCCGTATTGTGTAATTAGAAAGTTTATTCAATTCTAGGGCAACGCATCATAATTTGATAGTACATGTGTAATAAAATTCAAATTTTCAATAAAGATTATGAGATACATAAAAAATATTAAAAAATAAGAAGCTTAAAAAACAACAACAAAAAACAACAAAAAACGCATATATATACGAATGACTTACAGTCGAGCATCGGGAATTCATCAACATATCTTACGAAACTTTAATTTGAAAACGATATATGCGCGCGCTGAAGTGATTAATGTTTATTTGAATAAATCAAATAAAAAAACTTATACGTTTGTGTTCTAAAAATAATCGGCGGCATAATAGGAATTTCGTATTCATTTTACAACACTTGAAAAAATACTACAGAAAATGTGTTGTTGTTTTTTTTGTTTTGTTTTCAACAAAAGTGTGTGTGTGTGTTTTAAGTTTATTTATACTCGGGGCCGGAATAACCATATGTCCGAGATTATAGCATCGGGGACGTCTTTTTCAAGCCGAATCTTCCTGGTAGCCCATTCTCCGTTCGTTGGTGGTAAAGGAGACGACAATACTGTCAAGGCATCAACTTCCTGACTGACGACAACAAAAACGGCATTCGTTAGCGCCAAACCTTCAGAGTAAGTCACGACAGGTCAACCAATCACCTCTGGTACTTGAGATGACCTGACCTTGACCTGCCGTGTGCCTTCTCCGCGACGTGCACGCCTCTGGAGGGATTTGGAGAAGTTTCAACAAAAACTTCCAAAACACGCTATTTATAACACCATTCATAGCACTGACGCTTCGATGTTCTCATCTATTTGCGGGAAATGGTCGACAGGGAAAACCCTACGTAATAACCGCACACCCTGTTAACAATAGATTTTCCGCAGTTATATTTCAAGCTAGTGAGGTTTAAAAATACATGTAGAATCTATCTATTAACTACCATAAGTTGGTTGAGTGTTGGCGGTAAAAAAAGAAGATATAACTTCCTGATCAATTTTCACTTAGGTTGATTCAATTTTGAATAAGCTTTGCAGATATGTATTTTTTCAAGAAATATTTAGTTTTAATAAATATCCGAAGCCGTCAAAGTCAGCGACGAGTAATGAAATGGGAATAATTTTCTGAAACGTGATTTTATTCGAGATTTGCTTCGGGAGAAGACAACTTTCTGTCCGTAGAGCATGAATATTAATACTCATCACAAGACAGTATCTTATTGATCTCAATTATGGTACATGTAAATATGTATAATTTTTATGTTCAATAAAAATGTTGCATAACTTGCAGTTGTTATTATCATTCAATGATAATAAAATGACATAAAGTATTTATGATGAACAGTCCTAGAATATTTTGATAAGGAACAGTCAGTTGTAAAATGTTATTGTTATCTTATAATGAACAGTCGTCATACTTTCTGGTATGTCATTTATTATTGACAGTTTAGGTTTTTCAAAATTTGCAGGATTAGCAGTCCGAATGAAATGTTCTGGAATATTAACAAAATGAATAGTCAACCATATTAACCATATATATGAATGGTTGAACACAACAGTAAGGATAAATGACACAATGTGCATATCTTCTTATTTTGGTAATAATTGAAATAACAGCACATTTTAAGCAAAAAGAAAAGAAACTATAAGTCTGAAACATTCTGTCATAGCCTCCCCATCAGTACATTCAGTGCTTTGATTAATTATACGGGCAATTTTACATTAAATCAGGAATATTTGAGTGGTAAATCTTTAAAGGCAATGATTGTACTTTCTTTGTAAATTGAAAGAATTTTACCTTTCTCCCAGAACATTATGTCAGTTTTTTGACTCATTTGTTTCATCGATATTAAATCATTCATGTTAAATCTGGGGATATACTAAGTCTAAAGGGCTAGAAAGAATACATTTAAAATTTTGTAAAAGGTTATTAAGAGTTCAACCTAACACTTGTAATCCTAGTGTATATGGCGAACTGAGAAGATATCTCTTATATATTCATAGGTTTGTAAGGATAATAAAATACTGGTTAAAAATTGTAGAAACTGATTGCATAGTCCTTAAGACAGTATATAACCAAGCTCTAGATGATAGCAACAATGGTCATAAAAATTGGGTTTCAAATGTAAAAAAGCTTTTGAATGATTATGGATTATCATATGTATTTGATAATGTTAATAGTATTGACAAAAAATATTTTTATTTGAATTTAGAAGTCGTGTTATTGATTCTTTTAAACAGGAATGGTATGCTACTTTAGATAATAGTTCTGTATTGTATATGTACAAAAATGTTAAATGTAGTTTTGAGTAGGAACTTTATTTGGATATCTTGCCAAGTTGTTTTAGATTTTATTTCTGTAGATTAAGAATGAGTACTTTGTCTTTGAGAAATTACAAACTGGCAGATATTCTAGAAATTGAATTGTTAAGGAAGAAAGGTATTGTTTATGCTGTAATGCCTCAGACATTGAAGATGAATTTCATTTTGTTTGTATATGTCGTTGTTATTCAGAGTTAAGAAAAAAATATTTGAAAATTAAATATATCAGAAACCCGTCAATTTATAAATTTTTACAATTACTGAACTCAAATAATAAATATGAATTCAGTTTTCCAAATTTGTTAAAAAAGCACTTGCTTTGAGAAATACACTGTTAAATGTTGAGCGTTAAACATCAAAATAGCTCATTCTCCTTTTCGTATGTCTTTACTTTTTTAGTTCGTAGTAAACATATTTATCATTTAATTTTCTTGTTACTAGATAAATTAAGATTAAGAATTTTGAAAAAATGTCATGATTGCAATTACCATTATATTGACGTTATGCTTGTAAACATTATTGTATTATAGATGATGTACTATGTACAAATCTTAATAAAGTATCTGTTCTGTTCTCTTCTCAAATTTGATATTAGAAGATATTGATAATTTCTACACTGTCTCTTTGTAAATTTAGAATATGCGGGTTTTGACTTCACACAAAGTAGATATTTTTGTTATGTTTAAAATGCAACACACTATAGGTGGTCACAAAACTCACAATATAAATATAAAGTGTTATTTAAAAAAGAACTGGCAGTTTTTTCAAGAAAAAAACCAACTTTATTTGACCTGTAATAGGGAACGTAACTTCTAATAGATACATAGTTTATATATTGTTTCATTCAATTTAAACATATTCGGTAATAATTTCATAGATTTCAATATATTTATGTAATTAAAATATTTTACGCAAGGATGGGCATAGTATAATTTTAATTGCATCATTTTATGATAATTTGCATGATTCAGAGATGAGGATGAATAAATACCTAATTTGGCGCCTGATTCGGGAAGTTTTAAACAGCATTTCGATGAAATGAAAAAAGAGAAGAGAAAACATAAATAAAAAAAAATACGATACACCTCACGAAATTTTCTTTTCATATTATCGTTAAATGAGGTATGATCGTTCTATAAATCTATTTTAGGTTTATAAATGTTTAAACTGTAATTAAAGTTGATTTTCAATACTACCAAGCCTCCACATTTTAAAGCAAGATTTTATTATTTATACGGAAACCGCATAAGGCCCCCATTTAGTGCGATCATGAGGTGTAAGACGACTGATTTTGTTCGATTTGATCAGATGTGTTAACACAAATCAATTTATTTACTCACTGACATAAAGACTAGACCATTTTTGTCATTTTTAGACACTTTTCTCAAAATGCTTGAAGATTTTTTCAAGGCGAATTTTGTCAAAAAGACAAATGGTTTTCAAAAGACGAAAAGATATCTTTTCGACTGGACAAAAATATAATAATATAAATATTATAAATAAAATTAAAACAAAATATGATAAAATTATTGGTGTTAAAACGTTTTGTGTTAAAAAGTCAAAACGACTTTAATACAGTTGACTTGCACATTATGATCGATCTAAATGGAGGCCCTCGAGTTTTTCCATACTTATGCAAATATAAATCGGGCATATATTATAAGCGAGGGAGATCGACGTTAATGGAAAGCAGAGCCTTTGCTCCGCCCGCATGACATTACGATTATCACAAAAACATTTCAAAGCACGATTTTCGTCATAGTTTTCATGAACATATTTTTATATATTAAATTGTTACCCGATTGGTCCTTTTATTTTCCTACCGTCTTGAATCACCCAGTGTCTCCCTCCTGCTGCCGCTCTACATCTTTTCCATTGTCCCGTCCTAGTCCTTTCCCGTTGTCCCGCCCTAGTCTTTATCCATTGTCCTGTCCTTGTCCTTTTGCATTGTCTCGCTCTAGTCTTTTTACAATTTCCCGTTCTAGTCCTTTCCCATTGTCCCACCCTAGTCTTTCCCATTGTTCCGCCCTAGTCATCTCCCATTTTCTCTTCCTAGTCATTTCTCATAGTCCCATTCTAGTCCTTTCCTATTTGTCTCGTAGCGTAACCTGGACTTTTTTGTGTGGGGGGAGATGTCCGATGTTCCTTTCCTGTTTTTTTTTCCTGTATTGTTACTTTTCTTTTTCTTTGAATGTGATTCGATACGTGTGTCTGTTTCTGTCATACCTTTTCCCTTACCATATATTTTAAGCGCTTTGTTTTATGCCCCCCCCCCCTGGTTTTATATCCAAATACATATTTGTTGTTATTGATGTTTGTTTGCTTCTTTTGTTTTTTTACGTCACATGTCGACAGGGTCAAAAGATGTTGCTTCTAGTAATAGTTTAATTATTTTCAATTATTATTCTATTTTAACTATATCATTTCATCCCCAAATGTGTTCGACTTACAAGACCTGACTTAAAATTTGATTCGTTGAATCTTGATAAAATTGTTTTGAGCGTGTAAAGTTGATTATATATTCAGTGTTTTATATTTATATTTTGTTTGAACTTTAAACTTCTGTTTCAGGCACGGTACATTGTAATAAATCCGGTGACAAATTACGGCTATGCTGCCTTACGTATAGAACTATACGGTTGTCAAAGTATGGATCCACTGCCAAATGTATTCACAAACATTCAAAGTGGGATAGAGGTAATAATTTACAAAAGCTTCAAAACATTTGAGTCGCACCATGACAAACCAACATAATGCGTTTTGGACCAGCATGGATCCAGACCAGCCTGCGCATCCGCACTGTCTTATCATGATCCATGTTGCTCGCTATCAGTTTCTCTACTGTTATAGGGCTTGTAAGCGAACAACATGAATCCTATTCAGACTGTGCGAATGCGCAGACTGGTCTGGATCCATGCTGGTCGCAAACGCATTATGTTGGTTCTGTCATGGTGCGACTCATTTTATGTTTCGTTAAAAAATATGAACGTATCTTTTAAGCAATCTTTCTTTCAAAGAAAATGTACACGCTTGTGGTTTTGTAAACAATATTTCTCTTACAAGATCCGCACTGTTGAACAAATTAAATCTAACCAACAAGTTAGTCATTCTCACTCGTGCTTAGCTTGTATGACATGTACATTGTATTACTCAATCGGAACGTCTCGGTTATTATTCAAAATAATATCGTACTTATAGTCTGATTTTATTGAGTTGTCAATTATGAATACGTTATAGCACTCATACCACTTCAGTTCTGTGCGTATGGAATATACCAAGTGCTTGCAAAGTTGTCGATAATATGAAGCAACATAGAAACACCGTTTTGTCTTACGGCATTGAAATGACATTTATTGATTTTAGTCCGGATGAATTTTACATATGAATTCATAAACCTTATTATAAAAAGAGAATAGATTTTATCAAAATGAATGCAAAATGTATTAAAAACAAATCTTCAATATTGTTGAAAAATATAAGAAAGAAAAAAATGGATCTACGCGGTCTCGAGCTTAAAGCACATAGGCCATTTAGAAATTGCGCTATAACGCTTAATATTACTGTTTGAGACACAAATGAAATTCAGTCACAACTTACTGCGTACATCTCACAAAACTTACCAAAAATCTATCGAAGATTAATATTTTGTGTGCATCAACCGTAAAGAAAGTATGATAAAATCAAATTGAAATTTGTTCAACTAAGTAGTTTAGTTTAACCGTACACAAAAACAGAGGGTGTATTCTTGCATATAAGACTGGCGTTTCCGTTAGTTTCCATGCCGGAATTTTCATCTGGCATGGGGGTGCCAGATGAGTGGCGTGCTATACAATGGCACGGTAAGGATGACGTAATTTTACAGTTATGAATGAAGTTGTAATTTAATACGCTGTTGTAAGAAATAGTTACGGTTGTGATGACATAAATTTCCGAAATATGTATGCGTTTCGGATTGGAATATCCGTTCTCGGTAAATCTGTCGTATATTCGCATAACATCTGTCGTATTTCGCTTTCGCGTTCAAAATACAAAAAAAATGCAAAAACACAAAGAGATGACAAATATAACTTTGTCGTCTGTCTGCATTTTTGCTATTTTCACATTGTTACATTTTCGCATCGTTGCATTTACGCTAACAAAGCAAGCTAGACGCAACAATACACGTTAATAATCCATTTTAACAGGGAATACATGAAACTATACCATTAAATGTAGAAGTTGCATGCAAATTGTAGATCGATAAAATATATAGCAAACAGAATAACACAAAACGACGATGTATAACACTTTTTAATCTGATTCGTTATTATTTAATTTTCTCATCTGTATTGTTTTAACGTTAAACACACACAGATTCCTCTGATCTTACGTAACCATATAAGTGTTGTTGTTTTTTTAATTGTACATATTATTCTGCCGTATTTACTGCATGCACCACATGTATAAATACCACCCGCAAAGAATATAGAAAATCTTTTCTGCATTCGGTCTTTATTTGGCATTGTGTTACGATCGAACATATAGTTTACATTACACAAGTATTGTTGTTTGTTTGTTTGATTGATTGATTGATTGGGTTTTACGTCAAACTGGTCATATTGCGACGTTCCAGCTTTACTAGAGGTGCCCTTTCATGCATTATTTCAGGGACAAACGGGCACCTGAGTAGAAACACCGACGCTCCGTAAGATAGACATCGAGGGTTGACCGCAAAACCGTAGTACCTTTTATGAAAAATAAAAGGATTAACAACAATTTTGCAATCAGCCCTCGAAATAAGTATTATAATAAGAGTATCGTGATCTGTCTAATGTCTATGGCTCTCATAGACTTTACTAGAATGAATCATACTCGGCGCCTCGGGGCATCGTAAGATCAAAGAATAGTAAAAGCCATTCGATTCAAATCCTGGAACAAATTCCAGACCCAGATTAATATCTTCTTCTTTCTTTCTTTTTTTTATTTTTCGTTTTGTCAAATGTAAAAGATGTATGAGTATTATCAGGATTTTGTATCTTCAACCTTCATATACAGGTCAATACTACATGGATTCCAAATCAGAGCCCGATCCTTATTTCTGGTAGCATTGCAGTGAGATCTTCTGCCGTCCTCAACATACAAGCAGGTGTCAAGGTCATATTCATATCTGAAACGGCTGCTATTGACGTTTATGGTCAGTGGCTTGTATTATTAATTACATATAGAATATACGAGTTTTTAACTATTTTTTCGAAAATATGTTTCACTACAGTGAATATACGGAAAATGGAAATATTCATTTTATTTCATCAAAATTTCTCAATAGTTTATTCATAATTATATTAAACGTAAGAAAGCGTGCATTAACCTTTTATTTGTTGTGAGCAACCACCGAGGCATTTGCAATAGCTTAGTGCAAGTCGAGGAACGGCTCATGTACCCGTCCTTTCAACAATTGCACTATTTAAACGGACATAGAACCGTTGATAAGACGGGCCCTAGATGCCGATATTTTTAGTGTCTTGTTAGACACAAATACGATGGTACAGAGGTGACATGTGTGCGTTTAAATTTATCTCTTGCGCGCGAGACACTATGTCGTGCGGTGTGGACGAGTTATTTAGTCGTGCGCACGAGATAATTATGCTTTAAAGTATCCAAAATATTTGACAATTTATTTTTTATTTATTCAGGTACATTATCTGTTGAAGGTATTCAAGGTTTACCTACTTTGTTTAGTTCCAATCATCCGTTGTTGAGTAATAAGGCAAAATGGATGGGCATCAGACAAGGCGCTGGAGGTAACTGTTGCTGTTGATTTGTCTTTAAAATCTAGATGATATTTCCATTAGCAAACTAAATTATTAAAAAACAATATGATATTCAAGTAAAGGTGCACTATTTTTACAGTATTTCGTTTTATTTTGCATATAACATATCAACTGTGAAAAGAAATGCTAATCTGAATACCATGTCAACTTTAAAACCATAATAGATATCGTGTCAACTTTATTTTACATACTTATATATATCATATCAACTTTATTTTACATACTTATAGATATCATATCCACTTTATCTACATACTTGAAGATATCATATCCATTTTATCTCACATACTTTTAGATATCATATCTACTTTATCTTACATATTAATAGATATTATATCCCCTTTTTTCTTAGTAAACAAACTTTTAGATATCATAAAAAATTATCTTACATTCTTATAGATATCAAATCAACGTAATCTCACATACTTATAGACATACTTATAGATATGATATCCAATATATCTTATATAGTTAGATATATTATATAAACTTTATCTTGCATACTATCAATTTAAATAACTAATGTTAATTTATCATATATATTCTTATATTATAGTAAATTGTGTTTAATATGTACATATGTACATATTTTGTATCAATTTAATAGCTTATGAAATTATGTGCATTTCAGGTTTTTAATGTTACGTGTATATCAATATTCATAAAGAGTGGAGTATCTAATTTATGTGAAGAAAGCATATAGGTCTAGTTTATAGTACATATACCTTTACCTGAGATGATGTATATTTGAATATCTATTTATTCTTAAATTGCAAGGTCACATACAAATGAAACATGCACTGATTAGACAAGCAGTAACTGGTCTTCAAGGAAACGGTAGCAGCGTGAAAATAGCTAACAGTGAAATTCACTCATGTACAGTTGGTATACGGCTTGCTGGTGGTATAGCAGAAAATGTTTCCGATAGTGACACTATACAAGAACATGACCTGTCCTTATTGAATGTCAATGTTCACCACAATAAAGATGGCGTTCTTGCTCATGGAGATATTTCTAAACCTGTCCTAATCTTTTTATATTGCAATTTTGATTACAATGACGACAATGGAATTCTTGTTAGCAATTGGGACATCTCCGATCAATCACTTATTTGGACAAATTTGTATATCATTAACTGCAGTATCAGCAACAACTTCGATTATGGCATTCAAAGCACTCAGAGGATTGTTAGCAACATTTACATTAAGAATTCGACACTTAGTAATAACCAATATTCCGGTGTTTATATTAGTAGATACAATTCTAGGATTGCCAAAGAAACATTGATTGTAACAGATTCGTATTTTGTGAAAAATAGGAATGATGGTATTCATGTTACCTGTTATCAATGCAAACCTAGCGCACTTAGTTTTCATAACAATGTTTTCAGTGAGAATGTAGACAATGCTATAGAACTTAATCTTAGGGTGCAGTCGACAGGCGGTATCAGTGGCTTATCAATAAGTAACAATAGGTTTGAACGCAATGGTAATAGAGATATAGTTGCCTATCTAGGAAATTATGTCATTGCTTACATCCTTAACAACTACTTTGCTAAGTCGCGTACTTCCATGAAGGTGACTGGAAACATTTTGACTGATACAGAGGTTTGTTATATGTTTGGGAACGTGTTCAATGAGCATTCGTCCACTTATGATGAGTCTGTCTTAGAGGTTGAAGGCGTAACGGCAACAATATCAAACACAACTTTTGCAAATAGCTCAATACGTACCTTGGTACGGTTTAAAGATGGTTTCGGTCATACGTTTGAATTTAACCGCTTTGTAAACACGTCTCTAACAGAGTGCTTTGTTAGTGTTGATCAGAAATATGATCCAAACTATACCTTTGTAATGGACAATAACTATTGGGGAACAGGTGAAATTATTAAAATCAAAACGAAAGTATGCGACTTTTTTCACGATTCAGATAAAGCCGTTGCAAAAATTACTAACATTTTTTCAACTGAAGCATATGATATGAAGGTTTCAACTGAAGACATTGATGACTTTAGGTTTACACGAGATGATGATTTAAATGCAACAATTATTGGAGGAATTGTTCAAGCACAGTTAGACTTGTCAACGCTTGGTGATGGCAGATTCATTGTTAATAGAAGCCTTCTGATAACAGATTCTGCAGCCGTGTCTTTCAAAAATGTAACAGTCTATTTTGAAAGCCACCGGGGGATAGCTCAATATGGTATGTCGTATTCATTTCTCTTGCAATTAAAACTACTGAACGTTTCGTAAATAGATATTATTATGTCGAAATGCTATCAAAATACCAGTATTAAGTATCATTTTTATTCGCATAATGTTTAAAGGTATGAAACCCTTTTCAGTTTTATCCATATCTAAATTCTTTCCGTACTTTCTGCAATAATCTTTCCTAATTTGATACTGGCTTCTCATGGATTCCAAATAAACGCTTAAAAAGTGTAAGTTATCATTTAATCAATGACAAAAATAACAATATTTATCTTGTAGGTAATTTGACAATAGGGGACAAGGAAAATAACTCAGGTTCTGCAATTGTCATCGCATTTTCTACAAAAGCATGGAATGGAATTAAATTGTTTGCAAAAGGTATGTATGACTAGAAAAAGAAATGTAACATGAATACAATTCAAAATATGGGGAAATATTGTAGTATATTGAAATTTTAGGTATCTCTGAGAGAAACTTGACTGTTGGTATAATCTAAAATTGTAAAAGTGTGCCTTCCGCAGCAGGACAATCTTGATAAATGTCATTATTGATTGAGCTTATAGTATGTTCTTAAGTATTTAGCTTTCTGTAAAGTATCCCACATCATGGTGTCTTTTTACGAGATTTTATTAAAAACGCACATTTTATAACAATCTTCTTGTTCGCATGAGTTTTGTTATTTAAAAAATATGGTACTTAAGTTAATATTATCTCAATACTTTTAGAGTTACATATTTACAATACGGAACTGTCTGGAACGCAACGGCTTGTAGATGTTCGAGGAAACCATTCGTACATTGTCTTTAAAAATTGCAACATCAGTGATGATAGCGTGTTGCAAAACCTTATTTACGCTGACATGGCCAATGGAAATCTTTCTGTATCTTTACATAAGACAGCAGTAAAATCCAGGTCTTCAATGATTTATATAAGAGCAAACGACACAAGGACAACTTTAATTGAAATGATTGACAGTAATTTTACCAGTAAATCACACGTGATACAATTATCAGAAGTCACAACTCGTGAAGATATGCGTTTGTTTACTGTCAATATCATGAATTGTTATATGTTTGTAAGTGGAAACAATGTATTTTACTTATCAAGCCGCTCAAGTCACTTTAATGGAACGATTACAGGATCGGAATTAGCTCCCTATTATTACTTAAACACTGCATACTTTGAATTTCCATCCATGAACATTGAAATAGCTGGAAACACATTTGGAGATGCCAACATGATTTTACGATTTCAATTTTGTCGTCAGCTTAAGGAACTGTCAAACCCATATCCAAAGGTTATTAATATTTCAAGCAACATTTTCAATAGCTCTAGAAGTGGTACAGATTTACAGATCAGCAAGAATTATTATACGAATGAAAAAACACACAATATTTATGTCACGAAAAACGTTTTCGGATATAGCAATTTTGTACAGAGAAAAAGAATGTATATTTATGGATCCTATTACTCATCTAGCAACAGGCATTCGTTTGTTGTTGATTCAAATATGTTTGCAAATTCAACAGATGTCGCTATAAACGTTAATAATATGCACGATAGTTTGATTATAAGTAACAACACGTTTGTAAACAACTCACAGTGTGTATATGTGAAAATTGATAAGGCGTTGAATGTAGTTAATATCATAAAGAACACTTTTCTTAATAATACATATGAGCAAGGAGTCATTTATCTGGACCTGTCCTTAAACAATTACACCAACATTATTGATAACACCTTTATCAACAATTCAAATGTCGCTATTGCAATCACCTCTCCAAATACAACAGTAAAATACAATTTCTTTGAAAATATGAAAGATGTTTACAACGTGAAAGTTCTAGAAGATGATTACCCCGACATGATTGTGAATGCTTCGTTAAATTATTGGGGTACACATGATGTCAAGGAAATAGCCAAAATGATTTACGATAAAGATTACGTAGAAACTTTATTTGATGTGGAATTTAGACCTTACCTGGGTTCAAAAAACAAGACGGATGTTCAAAACGAAAATATCACATTTGTTTCCTTAAACGGGGAAATAGGAGGGAGCGTCAGTGGAGAAGTCACCTTAAAACTTGACAAAAGCCCCTATGTTGTTGTCTCTAACGTGGATGTTGAAAGAACAGATGTTCTCAACATTGATCCAGGCGTTGTGTTAATTATGAAAGCGGGTGTTGGATTAAAAGTTCATGGTTTGTTGAAAATGTTCTTTATTGCAAAGTTTATTTTACCTTTGTTAAGTATTTCGTGACATTTTGTCCTTTAATATGCCTTTGAATACCTCATTTGCAATCTTTCGTTTTTTATAAAGTTATTTATAACTTAGTTTTCAACACCATTTTTTATATATTTGTAAGTTACTGTAGCTAACACGAAAGAATTAACTCAACTTTATAATGATGTGATATGATTTCATGAGTGTGAATGCGGTGTATTATGCGATATCACTATGTTTATACTTTCAGGTGAAATAAATATTCGTGGGACAAAAGAAAATTCTGTACTGATGAAATCAGAAATTGCAGGCAAACCTTGGCGAGGGGTTGACATACGGAACACCACTAGAAGTATGTCTTATCTGCAACATTATTTATTGTTTGCTATCTTTTATTACAAAAATTACAAAAAGGCAAGTGTCAGAGAATAACTCCTGTTATATAGGTATTGCTACATAGCAATTATCAAATTTATACTGATGGAAGACGATTCTAATTGTCAATTAGTATTTATGCAAAATTGACTCACATGTAAATACTTAATTGGTATTTATGCAAAATTGACTCACATGTAAATACTTAGAGCCATGGTACATGTATAAACTAGCTGATAAGTACTCTTACACGAAACATTGCTATGCCATTAGCATAAATTGAATCAAGAAGAGGTATGAGCAAGTACATAAATAATGCCAGTTGCCTTAAGCACTTTATGACAGAAACTCTGTAGCGTAGATTTAAATGCAAGTGTTGCTATACTCCTTGATAAATACATAACTCTTATGTTTGAGAGAAGAAATGAAAATACACACAATTTAATTTCTTTAGTTATAACGGAGTGCTATATTAAATGCACATTGTTGTAGCAAATTTAAAAACAAGATGCTTGGCTATTTTAAACATATTTTTTATATTTAAGATTCGACACTATTTTACCTCTATGTAAATGACACAGAAGATGGGATACGTATACAAAGCTCCAACGTTATCATACATAATGTTACCTCAACATTTTCTCGTCAGTCAGGTGTCTTAATTGACGTAAACATGATGCACAAGCAAAAGTATTTCAAAATAAGCGAGGTTGCTGTTGAAAACAACGGTATTGACGGCATTAGCATAGCTGGGTTTGCGGCAAACGTAACAGAACTTACAATTGAAAAATGTGCCAGTGCAAACAATTCACGATACGGGATCAATATTGAAACAAACACCACCGTGAATTTTATAAAATGCATCATTGAGAACAATATTAAGAGTGGTGTACGTCTTCAGCAAAGCGGTGATGGATTTGTGCTCATCAATGACTCGGTCGTTATGGGAAATAAAGAAAATGCAATAACCGGTATAATTTCAGGTGGGATAAGTATCAACTCAAGTAATATTACCCGACATAACAACGGTAAATTAAACTGGTGGGGATACTGGACAACTAAAAGCTATATCGATTTGACTGACACCTCAAATACTGTTCAAAACGTGTATATTAAATTCAGTAACACCAACTTTATAGATAACGTGGCTGATGGTGTATATATTTCAAGAAACAGATATGGACGCAGTGATATGAATATTGACATAGAAAACTGTACATTTTCGGGTGGAAACCGTACCATAGTTTTTAGCGATAACGCTGTTTATTGGGGTTATACGACACATATGAATATATCTTTTGTTAACAATGTGATTGAGGACACCATGCTTTCCCAAAACCACCCTGTTGATAGAAATCTTATAAAAATCTTATTACACTACTATCAAATTAATTTCAATGGTAATATCTTTAGAAATAATTATGCAAACACAGGGTTAGAATTGTCTGCATCAAGAACGATGGCCAATGGCGATGTTGATATTGTTGAAAATAGTTTTATCAACAATAATTTTTCAATATCAACAATAAATGTACAGAGTCAATTGAACGTACATCTGTACAGAAATATATTTGTACCATTGGACGGATATGACTGCATTCTTGAAGTGCCACCCCTCAACATATCCTACTTTATCAATGCAACGTTTAACTACTGGGGAAGCGATTCAGCCATACAAGTAGTCAAAAGTGTATGTGGTTTTGAAAAAGATATGGATAGAAGCTTTGTACGCTATATTCCGTTCTTTGTAGATGTAGACCGTGCTAAAACAATATCTGCAGGGCAGAATGACTTGAATATGTCCGGAACATTTGGTGGAGAAATAACCGGTGATGTCACTATTTCCAAGAAAGATTCCCCCACCTCTATTCGAGTTGATCGTTCAATACTAATCAGGTATGGTTTTATGGTTTACTCTGATGCTCTGTTTACTATTATTTACTTTATGCAATTAAATAAAGTTAATTGTTACATGTTTTCTTGATATTTTACGTCATTTAAATTTCTGTATTCTGATGTAAGATAATGATCGAAGTAGCCGCGAGCTGTTATCTGTATATTCATTTTAAGGTGGAATGATCTAAATCATGTTTATTTCTAAACTTTAACAATATTCTTTGCTGTGATTCTTTGACTCCATAGAAACTTAAAAGCAATGAAATTTATAATCTGGATTCAGTATTCTTTATCAATGTGGCCGATTCAAAGAAAAACCTATTTTCGAAAAAAATGTATTTTTGTCAACCTGCAAAACCAAAAATATCATTTACTGTAAAACATCTTACGGAAAGAATTTATGGATGTGTTGTTATTTTCTACCTGAATTATATGGGTTTTTCTTTCAGGAAAGGGGCATCGCTTTATATTGAATCAGGACTTGTTCTTCAGTTTGAAAAGAACAGAGGGATTTATGTACAAGGTAATATATTTTAATTACTGTGGTGTTCAATGCAGCACAAAGAATTACTGGAAATTGCAGACATTGATCAAGTTAATCTGTTTAATGCATGTTTCTTTCCTAAGCATCAATTGTATTGCAATTTCAAAATGCCATAAAAGTATATCAAGACTTTGTTAAACGTTGAATAAATACGTACCTTTATATTATTTTAAACCGATAAGAAAAGACACATGTGTTATTTGTATTCTTTGTTTTATTTAAAATTATTCAAGCAACTCGTTATAATTTTTTTATATTTAAGGATCTTTAAAGCTTCTCGCCGGGGATTCACCTATCATTTTAGAAAATGTACGAAATTCAGCTTCCTGGCATGGTCTTGTTATAGATTCTGATGAATGTAAGTATAAATAAGATATGTGTCCATAAGACACGGGTGCCCACATAGTCCACTACTTTGTCAATATCTAGGTCAAATGACTCTAGGTCAAAAATTGTTTGTGCTACATGTGGCACAGTTCCACAAGTTGAAAACTAAAAACTAAGTAAAGGGCAATAATTTTACAAATACTGAATTAATCCACAAGCAAACCCCAAGGTGCATAAGTGCACGTGCTGACCAACATTTTTGTAAAGATTCAGGTCTGCGTGTCAAATACTTTTTTAAGCTTTGCATGAACAAGTTGAAAATTGCAAAGCCAACGGCAAAAACTCTTAAAAGACTGAAAATATTCACATGCAAAATACCAGGTGCCTAGCTTTACAGTGATGTTGATCATTATTCCTGTAAAGTTGGTTGACTCTAACTCAGACACTCAAGAACACAAAATAAACAACGCAGGTGAATTATGGATACAGTTTTTTACTGGAAATACGGGTATTTAACTCTATGAAATTACTTGGATAAAACTAATACAAGCGAAACCCAGAGGCACAACGAACATGCTGACAACATTCCTGTTAAGTTTCATGACTCCAGGTTTAATACTTTTTGAGCTACGCAAGACACAAATTGAAAATTGCAAATTATCACTAAGTCAGGGGCATTGGCTCTGACAAAACAGAAAAAAATCGAAAGCGAAACGCCAGGTGCACAACTTGACATGCTGATCAACATTCCTGTTTCATTACCCTAGGTCAAATACATTTTGAGCTATGTGTGACACAAGTTGAAAATTGCAAATTTTTAGTTAGTTGACAAAACAAAATTAATTCACAAACGAAACCCCAGTGCACAACTTACATGCTGATCAACTTTCCTGTAAAATTTCATTTTCCTAGGTTAAATACTTTTTGAGCTATGTGCGACACAAGTTGAAAATTACAAATATTTTCTAAGTCAAGTGCAATAACTCTGCAAGTACTTAATAAATTCCACACGAAAATACCCAGGTGCACAACTACATAATGCTGGTTAGCGTTCCTGCTCTAGGTTAAATACTTTTTGAGCTACGTGCGACACAAAATGAGAACGGACAAACGGATTGAAGGACGGACAAGGGTAAATCTAAATCCCCCGTTGGGGCATAAAAATTGTCGAACCTACTTTTTGCATGTAAATATCAATTGTATGAGACTCGTCAATTAAAAGATAATATTATATACTTGAAATTAGCTATTGTGATAATCAACTGAAAAGTGATCATAAGACAGTTTTGTTATCATGGAACGAACAAATTGTAATGAAGTAAATACTTTTATTCGTTTTAGTGACCATTTTGTATTCTGCATTTCCAATTTCAAGTTTCTTTTTTATATTTCTTATAGTCCAAAGCAAAACAATCCTCTACAACACACGACTTCTAAATACAACCCATGGAGTTATGCTACGTTCACCAAATGTAGAAATGAAGAAAAGTCAAATCCTTAATTGTTCTTCACACTGTTTAACCATCAATCAATTTATGCAGTTGAGTACATACGACTTTGAAATGTCAACCCTGGACAACTGTTCAAAAAATGGTATTAATATAATCGGGAATGGAAACATATCGCTGAAAAATATTGGTATTCATAAGGTACGAGTTGGTATAGGAGTAGATGCAGGACATGGTTCAGTGGAAGTTAACGGAGCTAATATTTCAGAATCGATTGAAGAAGCTCTTACAATTTCATTTTCAGATAGATATATGTCAAAAAACGTGTCTCTGAGTAATTGTTTGTTTACCAGTTGTGCTAAAGGGGTAAAAGTACTAACATATGATTATAGAACTGACTTAATTAATATCGACATTTCGCGGAACAAATTCAGTAACATTGAAGCAAAGTCACTTTTTATTTCACCCTATGATCATTATTATTATTCGAATAATGATGCAAATAAAACAATTAATATCAATTTAAATTCATTTACAAACTCATGCGGAGTTTCACTCGAGACATGGAATAATTTTAACACGACTATGAAGGATAATGTTTTCCATGATTCTCTATGTTCAAATGACGAGTCATGTTTTTTGCACGTTTTAACACAAGGGAATAACATTAATAAACGTACAAGGCAATTTAAAATTTCCGGAAATTTGTTTCAAAATATCACATGTAAATGCTTAGTTACGCTTAATGATGGGAATCAGGCCGATGCAACAGGGGAATTTGTTTATAATCAACTACTGGATATAACTGCCAAAGAAACAGTTGTTGTCAGTAATGCATTGAACATTAATATGTCTTGGAATATTTTTGACAATCCATATTCAACATTTGATTTATATGCACACAAGCGAGGTAAGTTGTATTTTCCTTTCACTTTCTGCTTTATCGATAACCGATTGTCATGTTGACAAGATGCATAAATGTCGTGACAAATCTAAATAAATTATACTTGTAAGATTATTTATCAACACGAGTCATTTGTTTTCTGTTTACATGGTTATCCTTGCAAGGAATATTTGATGATTTGATAATATGGTCTCTGGTATTAATAAAATAGGTTTTTATTAATTCTTTTCTTAATTTTATTTGCCTAAACGTCGGTGAGGGATATTTTCTTTTAATTCTGGCAACATATGTTGCCTAATGATTATAGTAAGTATTTATATTTGCCTAGTTTCCTTGATGTATACATTTTTGCTCGGCATAATATTTGTAGGAGAAGAATCCGTTAATGCAACAAACAATTGGTGGGGAAGTTCTGATGCTAATCAGGTATATAACAGAATATATGACAGACGACGTGATACATTTCTAGTATTGTTTTCCGTTATACCAGTAATGACAGAGCGTGTCATAGATTGTACTAAAGTTTCCAACTGCAGCAATCACGGGGAATGTGTTAGTCCGAATCGATGCCGATGTAACTCAGGTAAACCCTTTAACGACCAATACGCCCTAATTCATAGTTTCTTTAAATCTTTGAAATGTAGTTCTGCTGAAATGCTCTCTGAGAAAACAACGGTTTGAAGAATATCAAATTAAGCAGTTTGTGTAAGTAATATACACAATTTTGGATTAGAGCTCCGTTTATCGAGAGATCCTTGAACAAGATTTTACTATCGTTTATCTTTTTTTCAAAAGGTAGCAAATGCTTACTTTTTGAATTATTGCAAACTGAAACATCACTTATTATTAAACACGGATATAGTGGTATTTTTTCTGTTGGACTTTTATGTTCATTAAAAATTTGAAATACAATCTTACTTTTATTTCGTAATGGAATATTTTTCATTTCCTTTGCATTTTGGTAATCTTTGAATACATGTATAATGTGAATGAAAACAGGTTGGTCCGGAGAAACCTGCATGGACTATGACTGTGGAGGGGTTAATTACTGTTATGGAAACGGCGAATGCACTGCACCGAACACGTGCAAATGCAATGAGGGTTGGAGTGGTGCACTCTGTATAGTAGCGTCATGTGGGTAAGCACATAAAATTTACGTTTGTAGATATCTGAAAGGTAATTAATTCCACATTTGATCTTTTTTTGATCGTACGACCATATGCAGGCGATGCAGATGACACTTCTAATACATAATTATGCTTGTGCACACAGGGTCTGCAACTCAAACAAGTATCTTGAACACTCTACAATTGTCCGAAAAGATTGGAAAGCAGGATGCTGTGACCTAAATCCTATGTTTGAAATATGTAGTGGCTGATTTCTGCAATTTCGTGTTTCGTGTCATCTCCTTGTCTGTTAAGGGCACTGACACGAAGACACGGTACAGTATATGTGAAATAATTATAATAATAATTTAAACAGGTGGAGACAAGGAATTTTCTTCTATAGAGTTATCTTGTCGGCAGTTATAAATCTTCGTGTATGCGCGCTACATTTGTCATGTCGTCGTGTCTATACCTAAAATTGCGAAAGACGAAGAGACTATAATAAGCCAATTTATCGTGTCTCCGACTTTCAGGGCGAGGACACGAAGACTCGATAAATTGGCCAATTATCGTGTCTTGGCTTGTAGTCCTTTGAGGCAAGACACGACCAAATAACAAATATATTGCGATGCTCAATGTTTGCAGTGAGTTATTGTTTAAACAACAAAAAAACGAGTGCAATCAAAAAGGGGGTCTATTTGATACAAAATTAACAAATTTTCGGATGTTTCTTTAAATTCAAAGCTGCACCAGTTTTATTTGATGAATTCTGCTTAAACCGATTATTGGGGTGTGGACGAAGCTTGCATCCTCCACTGCCGTATATGAACACTTTTGTTAATTCGAGCCGGTAGTCTTTTTAATTTTGACTTTCTTTAAAGACTCCTTTTTTCTTGTTTTCCAAATTTGCTTTTTTTTTCAGTATTCCTTATTGAGCACTGTATAATCACCCTTGCTTTAAGTCACTTTTGACGTCTCGTCTGTCGGTGATATGCAGAATTGTTATGACATCTGATCTACATAAAAAATCTACTTTGTTTAGTTTCTACAATTCATTGTTTCCTCGTTTAAAACACACACATGTTTTTATGATTTATCTTTGTACTCGTAGTTTGAATAATTTAGATGTGTGCATATAATAGTCTCTTAAATTCGTATTATTTTGTGTTGAAAAGTTAAGAGGTTAATTGAAATGAAAGATTAGCTTCTTTCGTTTCTGACTTTTAAGAAATGAATAATTGAATTAAACCTTTGAAGATTGAATAAAGCCCTCTAAAGCCGGTATTAGGTGAGGGATGTTGCACTTATCTCCCAATGAACAGACACAAATTGAGCTTGCAATTTACACGTATTTTTGTTGGTGAACAATTCTAGGTAACACTGACTTTTGAAACACATAATTGATAAAAATTAATTTTGTTAATTGACCATTCATTTTACAGTCGTGTAAATAACTGTAGCGAAAATGGCATATGTTTCCGACCAAACGTTTGCACATGCGCATCACAATTTACAGGAAATGATTGTAGTTCGTGCGTGCCAAAACACTGGGGACGACAATGTGAACCATGTCCGGATTGCCAACACGGAATATGTAACCTTACTAATGGTACGCTATTTCATATGTACAAATTTTGTCTCAGACCCATAGGATAAATATGCTTTGAAATGGAAAACATAATTTCAAAGACAAACATTTTAGTTTTTATTATTTTTGAAGCCTTACAGCAAATGAAAGAATAATGTCATTTTAAAATCTTACTAACGAATTGATAGGGGCATGTTATTTGATGTTTTTGTATTTGCCAACGTTTCTGAAAGTGGAATGAGTACGTCAAATCTTAATTTACAAGCTAACTTAAGGTTTGTAGGATATTCAAATTCAATTTGTCTTGTACATATATACATAAAAAATCTGCCTCAAGTAAAAAAAAATGTATCATATAAATTTAAAATAATATAAAAATAAAATTGAAATGAAAATGCATTCAGTAAATATAGGTCTAGTAGTTGAGAAAATAAAGTGTTTAATTGCGTATAATGAAACTGTATTAAAGCAAGCAAATGTTTAGTCTCTATGGCCTGGTATTCAACTTGTATCATTACTTACACAAGCAAATGTTTTTTAGCATTTTTTTATATTTGTGCAGGTATTTGTGAATGTGAAAATGAAAACTGGTCTGGATACTTATGTGATAAATGTAGTGAAGCTTTTTATGGTCCGCAATGCTTGCCTCTAATCAAAGTACTTGATATTGTACCAAATCTGGGTTTAGATAAAGGTGGTTATCTTGTACATGTTTGGGGCCACAACTTTCCCAAATCCTCTCGAGGATTTTATACCTGTAAATTTGGAACAACAGAGACTAACGGAACATGGCTGGCATGGAATCATGTTGAATGTCAAGCACCAAAAATGCCAGAGGGAGTTGTTTCTCTTGAAATTTCTACTGATGGAATTGAATTCACTAATGACAAGGTACACCTAATTTGTAAATGATTTAAATGTGTAGGTTATATATGGCTTAAATACTTAGTGAATTAAAACGTCGGGGACCTATGTTTGAAAAATTATAAAAGTTCATCCATTAACATGTTCAATCAACCCGAGCCTGTTCTGCCGTTTTAGGCGTGTTGTACGGTATTTGTGTTTCTGTTGTTAACAGATAGTGATGGATCTTCATCATGAATTTCAATTTGTAAAATACTTTATGTATAATTTAGTTTGCTTTAATTAATATACACTTATACATTTGCTTTACAGTATCATACATTGATAGCTATTAATGTAACAGAATTCTTCATTTCTTTCAATACTTTTAATAGGTGATCTTACATGTTAATGTTGAATTCATTAAAATGGTTTGATTAAAGAAATAAATACGAATAAATAAATACGAATGTTTATGCAAGAATTTGGAATACATTTATTCAACATGATTGATAAATTAAATATGTGAAGACACGAACACGTGAACTGAACAAGCCTTTAAAATATGCCACATTTACTTTACATTCATACCAACCCCTTTGAATAATTCTAATTGAATGTTAGTTATCCGATTTCATTTGTATATGCTTTGCTCTGATTTATTCGACACTAACTTCAAGATACGAGTATTATCTATCTTTTCATGTAAAAAGTAAAGGACAAAAATGAGCCAGAAGATATCAAATACTTACGTAAATAAATGTGTCGTCATAATAAACAAACAATAGGGTCGGTCAGCATGGTCAGTATGAATACTTAATTAAAGTGATCAGTCGCCTCATTCCCATAGTTATTACACAAGCGGTGTCTTGTTTTTTACTTAATGCCTTTATACAATTTACTCGTGTGGTTTATATGAAAAAGATCAAAAGATAAAAAAAATCTTTTAATATATTCTTTTTTTCTCAGCTGATGTTTTATTTTTATGCATCATGTCCTCCTGGATCTTGCGGGCGCGGAAACAATCCACCACATGGTCAATGTTTATATGGAGGTTGTTCCTGTTTTCTTCCCTGGACAGGAGATAATTGTGATAAAGAGCTTCTTGTTCCTGCAGTACAGAAACCAAAACTGAACCAAACACTTGCTGAAGGAGATACTTATTCTTTACAACTAAATCTTACACAGGTATGTCACATATTGAATATAAATGTAATGACATGTAATTAACACAGGGAATGCTTCGACGTGTCATTTAGCGCTAAAAACCGACTTTTTCATGTTATTTTTTATATCATTTATCTCAGTTTTTCTTACTTCTCTAAACATTTAACCCGTTTTTTTAGCAAGCTAAATGTCTCTAGTGATGTCTGGTCCTTATCTTATCATCTATCCAGACTGTGTTTATGATTATAATTTCATTTTTGTTCATTTGATAGACTGGTATTAATAGCGAAGATCAGAAAAAGTATCTCCGTTTTAAAAACACCGGATGTCTAATTATGATTTGCTGGATATTCAGTTTCAATTTTGTTAATTTATTTAATTTCTTCGTTTCATTGTAATTTATTGTTATCCATAGCAAAATGCGTCATCTTTACTGACTTCGACTTTTCATTGTTTTCATGTAATCATTATAAATCACGGTGTATTTGTCGGGCAAGTATTTCAGAAGACGTTTACTCCCAGTTACTTCTAACAGAGTTAGTTTCGTATACTTTTGATATGCAATTTGGCTGCTTTGTGAAATTTAGATACATGATTACGTGATGGATATGCTTGAAATATTAAAGGAAATTCGGACCATCATTGAATTGAATAGTTTATTCAAAATCATATATCTTAAATATCGTTATCCCAGTCGTAGCCTTACAGGATGTTTATTTAAGAGTTCTATACTACCTTGTATTTGGTGCCGGAACCAAGAAAAAACAAGCAGTGGAACTTTTTTCTTCAAATGTAAAGGAAACTGAACATTGTTAGCTACAGCTTAGACAAAATAATACAAGCAAAAGCTGGAAAGAAGTGAGTACACGTAGAAACCGGATTTTTTTTTCAAATGATGGGCATAGGGATTCTTATTTTTGTCTATTGGTTCATATTTATATAGAAAATAAGATATAATCATTTCTGTTTAGGGGAGTCCACCAATTTTATGGTCTCTTATAAGAGGTCCATCGGGTATGGTTTTAGATGAAAATTTGGGATTAATAACATGGAAGCATGCGAGTGCAAAATCTAGCGTATATACGGTAGAAGCGAAGGCAGCAAACCTGGTAGGAAAAGATAGTGTCACATGGAATATTAGCGTTCCACTTTCATATACAGTTTTTATTGATAAACTTGATCAACTTGAGGGTAGTCTTCCAGTTCCTAAACCAGTTACCATATATGGAACAGTAGCTTTCGTGAACGAAGATGTGGCACGTGTTGTTCCAATTGATGTTTCGTAAGCAATATCGTTTTTTGTTAACAATTTATATTCAGTCAATGAAATATAATGGTATGTTGTTTTTTTGTTGCTGTTTCTTTCTTCTTTTGTCTAAACCATAAGGTAGCCATCAAGTAGAAAGAAATATACGTTACATAAATAAACATTAGTAATAGGGAATGTCTTGTTGATTTAAGTTCTTAGCTGTCTATAGTTATAATAGTTATAACTTGAAACTCTCTTTCTCGATGGTTTATTTTTTCTGTGATAAATTTTAGTTTGACATGGTTTGTAAGGAATAAACTTGGTTAAAATGTCTGTCCATACAACGACAATTCCATGCAATATTTATTATCGATGATTAAAACAGATCTTTTCTATTCGACTATCTGAACATTTAAAATAGGTAGAGATCGAAACACTCAAAGATCTTGTGTCACCATAGTGATGCTATGGAGTCATAGTAGCAATATATTTGAGTGTGAAGGGAGCTAACAACGTCACTGTTGCTCTCATGATTCACTTGTTTAAATATTTATTTACAACGCCGTATAACTTATTGTTCATCATTTGGCTTGACTGATTCAAAACATTTTATTGTAACTTTAAATATTATTTTGGCATTTAGAACGTCTTGCCAACAAAATGCATTTTTCGTTACATTTACGAACAACGAAACAATATTTGGGTGATGCAGATGAAATAACACATTGTAAAACACAACATAAAAGTATCGAATGCCGTTTCTCTCGGATCAGAAAGAAATTACATAAATTTGAACTTTTTTAATAATAAGAGACATAAAGAGAAGGTATTTTCACAGATATTTATTATTGTTACAATGTTAAATGATTAAAATTGCATGTAAGAGAACTTTCGACAAATTCTATTTTTTGTTTCCAGCGTAGTCAGTGAAAGAACAGGTCGTGAAACGTATATTCAAGAATTGTCAAATCCATTGGCTCCAACTACTTTCAAAACGACATACTATCCAAGGCCGGGCGATGCTGGTGTATTTACTGTTGTATGTACTCAAACAGTTTTTTATCGTCTTTGCTATATAAAATTGTTCTATTTATTTGAATTAAGTCCTGTATCACTAATAGATATTTTCCCTGCTAAATATTATCTAAGTATCTTTCTGCAAATAAGAAATCATAATTCTGAAAATAAGACACACAAAACGCGCTGGTCTGCACTGACTGCTATTCAGTCAGTACGTATTTTGACAATTTCCTTTAAATTGATAAACGGTTTCGCTCAGACCTAAAATCGAAAAGTCCATTCAGATAGTAACCATGGTAAGGGCTATAATTCATACATCTTAATTTATATGCCATTATTTAAGCATACTTTAAGGTAAACTAATTTTCTTCTTAGGGAGCACGCCATCCCGGATTGAGGTCATATGTACAGTCAAATGTCACATGGTCGGTTCGAGGCATGGTCTGTGCGCCGCTAACAGTTTATGTAAACGAAAAAATCATTTCTGATGACAGGATAGTGACAGTTTATAATATTTCATCGCTATATAACATTGGCAAATGTGTCATTAAAGGAATTTCTGCCAAGGTAAGAAGTCTATGTCCATCCATTACAGGTTTTGATACATTCGTATTTGTAAAAATGTATAATCTCTTTAATTATAATTAAACACTGTTTATATCTCTGTTACTATAGGAATATAGGAATAGACATAAGTTAGAACATACCCTTTAAGATGGTTAATAATGTTTTTGCCTCACTGTTTAATTAGTCTTCTGCATTTTATATTTTAATATTTATTGCTTATATCACAAAAACGGATTTGACCATTTGTAAAAATAAATTAGATTTTACCAGTTAAATAGATAGCATAACTTCTTTATTTAGATCGACGGTTTACCTGAAGCATATGCAAGGATATCTGGGCACACTGGAAGTTCAGAATTTAAACTTTCATCCCTCGGAGAAAATGAGAAAATTGACTTTGACTTAGTTATCAGAAATGCTAAACCTTTGTCGGGAAAAATATACATTATATTTGGTACAGAAGAAGGAACAACAACTCGGTTAAGCATTTATATAAAACTTTCTATACGGAAGCCATTACTTATATTTGATCCGCCATTTCTCCGCGAAAATATTGTACGCGGGAGTATTCGTATTTTTGACATAAGATTAAACAATACTGGTGAAGTTGCTGCTAAAGATGTTGTAATAAGTTTGCCAAATGATCCGAGGTTATCGCTAGTGTCGTTCACTTCATCTGTAAATGATACCACCTTCACTTCCAACGCCACAGTGTCACCTTCAGGGGCCGCTCTAATTTCTATTGCGGTAACAACAGTGAAAACGGAAGCGCTAGGTGAAATGAGTGGGACAATTTACATAAATTCGGCATTAAGTTCAACTCCGTTTTCGTACAAATTTTTTATAACATCTCTCCAAACATACAATGTTACATTCACTGTGAAAGATGAATATACATATTTTGCTGCTGACGCACCATTGGTTAGTAATGCCATGGTAAGGCTTGTGAATCCAAGACGTGACTACTCTGAAACAAGATATACAACCAATAGCACAGGTACATATCCATTATGATTTAAAGATTATATGATATAATATGACATCATTTGCAGTATAGTTTGCCCGAATTCTTTGATTTAAACATAGTTTTCATGAGTATCAAGACAAATTTCTTACATTATGTACAATTGAGTTTTATAAATGTTTAGTTGATGTTCATAATGCAATTAAAAACAAAATGTATATTTCTATAATGCATAAAATTTATTATAAAATTTTAGTTGTAAAATCGTATTGTAAATAACATATATAAATTCATTGTGCGTTTATTTTTGATAAGGTTACGTAACATTTGAGAATGTTTACGAGGACCAGTACTCTTTATATGCTGAAGCTGAAGGTCATTCAACATACGCCGGAGTTGTCTTGGTGGGCTCTGATACTACTGAACAGGACATATTTTTACAGCGAGTGGCTGTTAAATATACATGGAGTGTTGAGCCTACAACAGTCAAAGACGTTTACGTCATACAGCTTGAATCTACGTTTGAAACTCAAGTAAGATTTGCCTCACATATGCGAGAGTGAATGCGAACGCTCGTGAGTGCGCACGTTAACGCGGGTCCATATTGTTAATATTGAAATTTAATGACCAGAAGGTCTTATAAGAGGAATTGAGGGGAGTGGTGGCATAGCGGTTATCGTGTCTGCCTCTCAATCCATGGAACATGGATTTAGCCCTTATCGAGTCACGATCATGTTTCTCCATATGACACCAATACTAGTTGGCTCCAGGAAGCGGATTCGTAAGTGATTAATATAAGTTGCAAAAAAGAACTTGTTTTGTAATCGAGATTAAATAAATATGTTTAAACCAAGGTGAAATGCTATTCGGGTGGGGGGTTAATACTATAATTGCATAAAGTTTATTTCTTGTATTTTTCTTGGCACAGTCACGTAAGTGTTAGATAGTTATAACAGAAAAAGTCATGTTTACAGTCATGCTGTTAGAATAAATATAATTAAGCATCAATCATAACTATGTTTCTATATTGAATAATTATGTAAAAATATCATATTCATAGAAACATAGAAACAGAAATGATGCTAGGTGGTTATGTGAATCTGCAAGTCACTTATTCACTTATCTATCATACCAGCGAGATAAATGAAATAATTATGTTTATGTTTCAATTCATCAAACAAAATTATAGGGAATTCATTCAATATTTTAATTTCAGGTCCCAATGCCTGTCGTTACAATAGAGCCTGCTAAAGTCAACACCATACCTTACGAATTAGAGGAAGAAGACACGATAGACTTTAATATTACCAACCACGGACTGATCAGAGCAGATAATGTCCGATTTAGTCTACCGACCGGTCATCCTTACCTAAAATTTGAAATGGTATGTAGACTTTTCATGACTATTTAGTAAAGTGAAGTATCTGAACAGATTATGTATGTATGTATGTATGTATGTATGTATGTATGTATGTATGCATTGAATTGAAAATGTGCAAGATAATACAATATGCTAAAGAAAGAAACAAAGTACGCAAATAAATGTTACAATTTCCGTTATATCGTACTTAATCGTTCAAAAGACCGCAAATGAATTCATCCGCTTGGATTTACCAAATTTCAGTGATTATAAGAAAAAGTTTTCGATAAAGAAAATAAATCCTTAAAACAAGACTTAAATGTATGCAATTTATGAATTATAATTTTGTAAAAGAAAATAAAACGCGTTAAAATTTCTGCAAGGCAACGAACGCGACAGCACATATGTATTTCGAAGCGTCATAACGACGGAGAACGTTAACGTCATGCGCATTTTTCTACCCCACCAACGGCACGAATGTATTATGTTTAAGATCAGTTCAATTTTCTGAAAAAGCGTCTATATCATATCTATCAAAATCTTTTGTTTGACTTACGAGATAATTGTGTCGGGTTTCTTTAGTCACATTAGATGTTTATGATGGAGACATTCGGAACCGTTGACAATGTTTTTGAAAATGCCGTTTTCGGACGGCTTAATAGAGGTTTTTTTCGAATAAAAAAAGCGTGGCAACTACAAACCGTTGACACGTGATTTCACAAGATTCCTATGTTCAAATTACAAGAAATTTTATCATGACATTTTCCGCGTTTAACAACAAGCTTCGACAAATTTTGGACGAGATCCTATATTGTGTCAGGGTCTTTTCCTCAACAAATGTTATGTTGTTATTCAGCTGCGCCACTGTGGCATTTCTATGGTTATTTAAGGGTGCCTGTGAAGGACCTGGATGTCATTAAATCAATAATATTTTGAAATTAATTATATGAAACGTCAAACTTAACGTAGGTATGAATTTCATGAAGACAACAAGAAATTTATCAGAATTAAAAACAAAATACGGGTTCTTTTGGATCATGTGATCATGTACATATGTATTCTAAGCTTAAATAGTGTACATCCGCACATAATATGGCACAAAGGGTATGAACCCCAGAAATGTCACCACCAAGCTTTTTAAGAGTAAATTGTCAACAATAATGTTATGATTATTTAACTTTCTTCAATTCTCACAGAGTATTAGCCTAATGAATTTATTTTGAAGCAAACAAGTTAGCAACTTTGCAGTGGCAAATGGGACCTAGACCGTAAAGTAGCTTGTGACAATAATAAAAGGTTAGGAAGCACTGATAAAGACCGTAATGACAACATATGTTATGTCATTCAAGACTTCTCTTCGTACAAGGGGCACACATATCCTTTCTCGTCGTCACTGCCACCTTGTTAGGCGACTTCCTTCGACATTAGCCAGAACATCGGCAGCTGTTTTTCATGTTTGAGGAGTAGAAATTAACATATTCTATGTGGCGTATCAAAATACTCAAATGGTCCACCCATTTTACAGCTGCTTCTCTGCTTATGTCCTATGCCCTACAGCTTTAAATTGTTCTGGCTTAACATACAAATATACTATTACTTTAGAATCAATCCGTACTAGTTTGGAATACTGTAAACAATTGCAATCGCTATAATATATGGCTGGAAATGGAATAAATAGACGGCTATAAATTAAACACTGATTTATTACATTAAAAAGTATGCTAGATTTGAATGATTATATCAATTCAATAATTACAAATATTCATATTTCTTTTTTATGATAATTATGATATATATATTTTGCAGACTGTAGATTTCATCGGAAGTGTAGAAGCAAATACATCGATCATTGTTCAAGTCAAAGCAACACTGAAAAGCAGAGTAAAACGTAATGTAATCGCTCTTGCTATATGTGGCCTCGCTTTACTGTATGACTATGACTGTGGTGGCACACAGACGCGTAACCTTGACGTGACATTAACACGAGAGTATCCAGGAAGACCACCACTGCCTTGTGGTTTAGGCGGCGGCGGTGGTGGTGGAGGCGGCGGCGGTGGTGGCGGTGGAGGAGTTTATTGTTAGTTTAGTTTTAATAACTGTACAATTCATTGTATTCTATAGGAATATTGGTCGACTATCTTTTGGTATGGCGTTTTAAAATGCTTAGCCAGAAGGAACTTTCTTTTTTTCTTAAATGGTCGCCTTTATTGGAAATTTTTTAATGTTCATAATTATTTACTTATAATTGTTCCAACAATAGTTTTTGTCGCTGTATATACTGAAGCTTTGATCTTTTATCGCAATAACGTTGTTACTTACTACTTACAGATGGAGGAAGTGGCACCGGAACTGGACGTGGATCTTCTATAACATATAACCCTACTACACCATTGTCATGTGACTGTGCAAAAACGTTAATCAAAAGCTGTGCATTAGCATTTCATCCTGTAACGGGCTGTGCATATGCTGTGACTGACTTAGGGACAGCTTATAGCGTAAATGTTTTTCTTTTGTACCTTAACTGTATATACATTGTATGTATAATATCATAAATAATTGCCGTTGTCTGGCAGCAAATGATTTTAGTTTCGTAAAGCATTGAATACTACATTGTATTATCAAATGTTTGTAACTACTTTATTTTATTAAATGTAACTACTTTATTTTATTAAATATGCTCATTGTCTGTCATAAGTATAGTTATAAAATGAGATAAAAACAAAATCGGTGTTTGATCCTTACAAGATAAAGAAAATGATCAATTATGAAGGTATTTGAAATGCATAATACTACATAACCGCTGATAGAATATACTCGTAATATACGACCGACCCTATAAAAACGTTTTCACCTTTTTTCTTTTTCTTTTAAAAAAGCTCTTCTGGCACTCTGCAAAATAATTATGTTGAAGTTTTATTTCCTCATTTTTATTTGTATTAAATGATTATTACATTTTTTAAGAGAAGTGATGGCGATCTTATTCTTGGGACGCTGAATTTTATCTTAGGGATAGCAGATACGGCGTTTGCTTGTGTTTTTGGCTTAAAGTACACGTTTTGGGGGCTAATGTATACATCTGCAAGGTAAGACTGTAATCTCCAAAAGTTTATGTTAAATGCTAACTGTATTTACGTCTTTTCAAAATAATTTTATCGTCTTTGTATCCAGTTTCATTACTTAATTTTACCTGGATGGATCTTGCATACAAATGTTTACAGCAAAAAATGATTGGCATGTCAAAGGTTAAGGTTATACATAGATATTAAAGACCAACACGATGAGACTCCGTTTTGTCAGGTCTAAAATCTGTCACTCTTTGAAGGACTTGAAATGCATGTTACACATGTGACATTAGTCAATTCCCAGATCTAATTTCACAGATAATTTGTCAATGTCAAAATGGTAAGTAACAGTGAGTGATATATGTTTTTACCTTTTACTTTGTCAGAGATATAAACCGTTTATCAAGCTCTATGGTCGTTAAGACAAAGTTTTATATTTTACACTTTTATATTAAATTTCCGTTAGAGTGAATGTGATGTTTGAACTCCTAGTAAAGACTTTCCATTTTTGGTGTTTATATAAAAGTTGTATTTGATACACCTCACTGATAGTGTTAATCAAATAAGATACCGTAATAATTGAATAAAGTTTTACGGTGAGTTCGCTTAAAACTAAGTAACCATTAGTACATCCTTAAAATATAAAAGAAGATATTCAAGAAAAATGGAAAATCTTGTTTATTCGTATTCATAGAAAGAAATCGAAAAGCAATGAGTTAAGAAACAAAATATGATATTTTATAAGAAATTGAGAAAGGGAGTAAAACTAAAACTGAAATAGCAAATGATTTTCAAATTCCAAAATGTACGCTGTCGGGTATTGTGTCTAAAAAGAAATAAATGACTAATTACTCTTAATCAAATGCTCTTCAAAATGGCGGACGATGTTTATCAATCAGTTCGTTATATGTAAATCTGTTCGCTATAAAAACTCCTGATACAAAGAACTAATTCGCTATATGCTTACAAGGAACTCCGGATATAAGGAACAGATTTTGAATGTCCCAATGAGTTCGTTATAAGCGGAGTTTACTGTATTAGTTATCATAATTCTGAGCAATTCCTTGTACTTTTTGATTAATTTATACTGAATAGTAAACGTTAATTCGATGGGTGATATTCCTTGCTATTTTATTAAGCGTAGATTTATTCGTTCGGTAATATCTCTTGCTATTGTGTTAAGCGTAGGTTAATTCGCTCAGTATATTTCTTGCTATTGTTTTAAGCGTACGTAGGTTAATTGGATCTGTGATTTCCCATGCCATTGTGTTAATTGTAGGTTAATTCAAGCGGTGATATACATTGTAACTGTTTTTAATGTTCTTTCTTGAAGAAATATAGAAAGCGTCAATTTTTTCTAAAATTACTTTCAACGATAAAATCATTTCACTTTAGATGCTTCGTAGATGCATACTTCAATTGTAAAGATGATAGAAAACGACGAGAAATTAGCTCCGATGTTGTGGATAATATGATTTCCTCAGCTCAACCAATTGACAACTTCTTGATAATGCTGACTGAAATTCTGGGAGATAGAGACATGTATGTATAATTCATAAGATGAAAAATATATTTTTTCTAAGTTATTGTACTAGCGCTGTATCTGACGTAATCTGATAACAAACAATAACATAATGCAGTTCCTGGTACATTACAAAATAATTAGGGGTAAATATCAATCAAATCATTTAGGTGGATTGTTCATTAAAGAAGAAAGACATTATTTGACTTAAGTGAATGGCTATTAAGGTATTGGGTTGATCATACTGTTATGGTTCTATACTATGTCGGTTTATTTAACAACATAACATAGCAGATACTTCATTAACAATACATGTATTTTGTTGATTATAGCACCATGTTTTAAAAACATATTCCCTTACAATTCTTAAATGTTGTTCGATCACTACGGTATCATTAAGAATTATAGACAAATGAAACCCAGATACAAATATTTTCCTTTTTTGCAAAAGATTCTTGAAAAAGCACAAATGGCTTCTTTTCTTCTTAGAAATTTTTCTATTAATTAAGGAAAAATTAAAATAGAAGTGTATCAAAAAAAAACCGACAAACATTCATATTTTTCTGAAATGACTTATTTTGCTGTTTAAAAAAGGTACAACTTCGAGAGCACAACCTGGTATCAAACATTCAAGAAATCTGTTGGTGAAGACAGTGAAATTGGGGCATTATTGTCAATCGATGAGGCAACGCATGTGCTGAACACTCTAGCAGATGAGGCAGCCAAGAAAAACATAAGCTTATTTCTTGAACGTTGGAATAATACGGGTACATATATTAATCAAATTAGCCATCAAAGACAGTATTTAAAAAAATGATATATTGATAAAATGAAACATATTAACATATCCAATCCTTGCATAGACTACAGTTGCATATATACCTACATGTTTCAATTAATCATTATAATTCATGTAATCTAAAACAAACAAATAAAACCTAATCATGCATAAATAAATAGGATTTCGGCAAAGAAAGTTGTAAATTTATTACGAATGAAAAGGTTAAACTAAATGAAATTATATAATTGCAGCGGCAGCATGGGAGAATGGTACATTGAAGGAGCTTAGTGATACAAGTCGCGTTATAAGCCTTACCCGATTAACACCTAGAATCGAACAATATCTTGACGATATTGAGAGTGCAAGTGCTAAAGGCTTTGACACCATTTTCGATGAATTTAGCCACGCAACAAACACATACAAAGCAGCAAAACAGAATGAGGTATCACTTCATACTTTTCAACTTTATTTAAGTTTACTGATGCATGTCCTCGTTAAAAACTAGAATCTTCAAACATTCAAGCTGCTAAGATAAGTAGAATAGTCATGCTTACATCCATTGTTTTGGCATTCATGAAATTACATTTAATAATTTTTAAATGATACAAAATAAAATGTTTCATATAATATCAGGAACTGAAATAAATGAAGTCAAATTTGTTAATGATTAGATATCGTCTGGCGGAGGCTCACAGAAAGATGACGGTGTTTGCGCACGTGTCAGGGTACGAATAGTACAGGAACTTGTCCTTACCAGAGACGCGTTCAATGCCAAATTAGAGATTGAAAATGGCGAAAATTCCGACTTAGAATCTATAAATGTTGAAATTCAAATCAAGGAGACTTTCGGATCAGGGGAACTTTTAAATGACAAGTTCTCAATAGGTAAAACTGAAAATAAAAATGTTATTTAAATTATTCAAAATAATATGTGTTATAGAGGTTAAAATGTCATACACTAAACTGTAACTGATACTATTGTGTTATTCAATAACTTAAACTAATAAATAAATGATAACATACAATATAGCTAACGATAAGTCAGTTGTTCTATTTCAATCAGTCATAGATATATCAATACCAAATTTAATTGGGAGTGCAAGAAACATTTGCGCCTATATTATAATTTATAGATGATTTATTTTGGTCGCCACTATACTTAGGAAAACCAGCCTCTGCATTTGGACGGTTTTTGTGGGGGTTTTATTTGTTGGGGCTGTCTGTTGTAGATCATTTATTTAATCAGTATAGAGAAAGTGTTTTGTATTCACTTAACACGAGAATAACGACCAGAACAGAACGAAAGTAAATGTGATATGTGTACTGTCATTTATATATAAAACACGTAGATTAAAGGTTAATGATAAAATAGCTGTTCTTCTGAAATGGCTTGATGACCTCAGTACCCGGTTTCAAATGTAAAACAAAAGAGGAACTCTTATAAGTGTTCTCATTTTATGACAATGCCTAACGTCAGACAGCTGACTGTCACGCTAGTGAATAAAACAAAAACAAACACAACCCTGTTCCAATTTATATATGGAAATTTCTATTACTGTATTAATTTCAAATCTCTTGATTAATCTAGGTAAACCAACATTGATTGGTATAAGTGGAGTAGATGGTACAGGCACATTGGGAAAAGATATGTCTGGCTCCGCAGAATGGTTGATCATTCCATACAGTAATGCAGCCCCCGAAGACGATACTCAGTATGATATAGGTGGACGGTTATCTTACAGTGTAGGAGGCTCAGAGTTTTCTGTACCTCTCTTACCTGATACAATTAATGTGAAACCGAATCCAAGTCTTGTTGTGCATTACTTTCACGAAAAATACGTGCAAGGTGACAACCCACTTACGCCAGAAAAAGAACCTATATTGCCATTTAGTCTTGCTGTAATGGTGATGAACAATGGGTATGGCGTAGCGAGAGCTTTAAAAATAACATCAGGACAACCAGAAATAATAGAAAACGAAAAAGGTCTTCTTATAACATTCAAAATAATTGGAGCACAGATTGGCAACCATCCGATCTCCCCATCACTGGCAGTTAATTTTGGGGATATATCATCTTTTGAAACTAAAACAGCAAGATGGTTAATGACATCAACGTTAATGGGAACATTTTACAACTACAGCGCCTCGTTTGAAAATATTAATCCTTTAGGCGACCCCCAGCTTTCCTTGTTAGATGATCTTGGTTATCATGAATTAGTTCACCTTGTAAGAATTGGCATATCTACAGAAGATGATGGAATTGATGACTTCCTTGTCAATGACAAAGTTGATAACGAGGGTTTGCCTGATAAGTTATACAACAGTGCAAATGGCAGCGATGTTCTCAAAGTTGATACAGCAAACGTTACTAATGTAAATGTGTCTGTTTTCAATTCAAGTAAGAACTATAAGATCGTCACACTTACTGTAAAAACAAATTTGTCTGTTTGGTTCTACACCAGACTTGAAAATACTTTCACCAGTCCTGACCCAGCAATGAAAGAGTTTTTGCTACATGCGCATCTTTATAGCAACGGAAAAGAATTGCTTGTTGACAAAAATGTTTGGCAGACAACACATATCGGTAACACTTTCTACCTTCACCTTTTAGATTATGTTGAAGATATTTCTTCAGACAAAACTCCTACAGACGATTCTGAAGTTGAGATAGATTATGTGTTAATTTATGGACCTCGCAATATGTATCCGCCACGGTTTAACTCGACAACGTATAATGTGAAGGTATCAAAGTCACAAGCAGTTGGTTCTGAAATTATTACAATTCATGCATATGATATTGATAAAGACGAAATTGAACTCAGTTTCAGAAGAAATAATATAGAATATTTCAGCATCATCCAGAAATCGAAAACATCTGCAGTTATAGCTGTTAAATATAGTCCATTGGAGCTTGGGAAGACGGTATTAGAAGTAATTGCAAAGGACAGCGGAATCCCACCAAAACATGCCTATGTGAATGTCACTATAACTGTTACAGACTCGAACACCACGGACACAACGTCAGCTACACCTGTCCCTGAAGCCACAAAAGGACGATCAAGCTTTTCTACCACAGAGTCAACGATTGAGTCAAGATCAAGTACCATTTACTCTACTACCTTTTCAAGCCGATCTTCGTCGTATATTCCCGTGTCTAACACAACCTTGTCAACTGTGTCGAATCCCGTGACAGCTACAACCTTGACAGCTACGTCAAGTTCCGTAACAAATACTTCCTTTTCAACTGCGTCAAATCTAATGACAAATACAACATTGTCTTCTGTGTCAAATCCTGTGACAAAAACCTCCTTCTCAACTGCGTCAAATATATCCACTACAAACTCTCAATTTCCTAAAAACACATCAACTACAGAAATACCCAGTACATCTACGGAAGAAAATAATCAAGGGACAACCGTATCGTCCTCTTCTAAAGTTCACGCTGAAGTATATTTAGTGTTTCTGGTGTTTCTTTCATGTTTATCTTTATAAAACGGATCAGCATACTGACCTGCTATATGCCGCGAAAAATTCAAATTTACGCACGCAACATTTTTTCCGGCATGCATAGAGCACTAGCCTTTTTCAAAAGAAATGAAAACATTATATTGATGTATTTTACACTGTTTGCCTTTGATCAATTTATATAATCAGAGTATATTATAAGTCCATCTATGTATCATTTATTATATTCACATCGTTTCAGAAGTTGAGATAGATTATGTGTTTATTTATGGACCTCGTAATATGTATCCGCCACGGTTTAACTCGACAACGTATAATGTGAAGGTATCAAAGTCACAAGCAGTTGGTTCTGTCATGCATATGATATTGATAAAGACGAAATTGAATTCAGTTTCAGAAACAATAATATAGAATATTTCAGCACCATCAAGAAATCGAAAACATCTGCAGTTATAGCTGTTAAATATAGTCCATTTGAGCTTGGGAAGACGGTATTAGAATTAATTGCAAAGGACAGCGGAATCCCACCAAAACATGCCTATGTGAATGTCACTATAACTGTTACAGACTCGAACACCACGGACACAACGTCAGCTACACCTGTCACTGAAGCAACAAAAGGACGATCAAGCTTTTCTACCACACAGTCAACGATTGAGTCAAGATCAAGTACCATTTACTCTACTACCTTTTCAAGCCGATCTTCGTCGTATATTCCCATGTCTAACACAACCTTGTCAACTGTGTCGAATCCCGTGACAGCTACAACCTTGACAGCTACGTCAAATTCCGTAACAAATACTTCCTTTTCAACTGCGTCAAATCCAATGACAAATACAACATTGTCTTCTGTGTCAAATCTTGTGACAAAAACCTCCTTATCAACTGCGTCAAATATATCCACTACAAACTCTCAGTTTCCAAAAAACACATCAACTACAGAAATACCCAGTACATCTACGGAAGAAAATAATCAAGGGACAACCGTATCGTCCTCTTCTAAGGTTCACGCTGAAGTATATTTAGTGTTACTGGTGTTTCTTTCATGTTTATCTTTATAAAACGGATCAGAATACTGACCTGCTACATGCCGCGAAAAATTCAAATTTACGCACGCAACAATTTTTGGCATGCATAGTGCACTTGCCTTTTTCAAAAGAAATGAAAACATTATATTTATGTATTTTACACTTTTTGCCTTTGATCAATTTATATAATCAGAGTACATTATAAGTCCATCTATGTATCACTTATTATATTCACATCGTTTCTAGTTTTATCTCTATCTTCTTTATTATCTTTATCTAGTTCTGTTAGTTTCATTCTTATGCATATATATGTATTTTACACTTTTTGCCTTTGATCAATTTATATAATCAGAGTATATTAAAAGTCCATCTATGTATCATTTATTATATTCACATCGTTTCTAGTTTTATCTCTATCTTCTTTATTATCTTTATTTTGTTCTGTTAGTTTCATTCTTATGCATATATATCATCAACATTCATGGTAAATGCTTGTTTAACACTTATGTGCGGTTGTTTCCGTTATTAATCATCATAAGGAATGATGTTGGCCAAAGTATCGACCTGTCAAACACCATTTAAAAGCAAGATTATTTTATGAAAGTTTTAAATTCTAGTTTTCTTTATGAATTAATTTTGTCATTATTGTCCAGGACCCAGTTGTTCACTTAACCAGAACCAATTTGAAAAAACTATTTTATGAACTGTGAATATTCCTTATTGTTATCTTTGTAAAATTATAATTTGTGTTTCTATAGTTACAGCTACTACGTCAGGAGCACAAATACAAATAATTATGTTACTTTAACTTTCTTATTCCATATTTCTAAACATTTTATGAAACATAATTATTATTATATTAAATAAATTGATGTGTACATTAGCCGATTAACTGTTTGTGATATATTTTGTAAGTTAATTATATCCAATTATAGGACACGCATCGGGAAAAAAGGATAATATTTCAAATGCAATAGTACGCTGTTACGTGGCATTGCGATATAAATAACACGGGCATGCGATGTATTAGGTATACATGCGCACGTAAAATAGGTCGCGTAGCCAAGTAACATTATCACCTGCGCATGTACATTTTTTGCGTGCACACGTGATATCAGATACTAAGCACAGAAAAAAATGAAACGTTTTAATTCTAGATATCCTGGTGGTCATAAGTATGTTTTATATCAGCACACAAAAGAAAGTAGTCACAACGATGAAATAATCGTATTAGTTAAGAGTACGTGAATATTTTTTCATTATCTTCCCGCAGGTTGGTGATTGTGCTGAAAACAAAAAACCTAAACTGAGGTCAGTTCAGGCGCGTGAATAAACGGTATTACCGAACTAGAAATTGTGTAAATTTCATTTTACCGCTTAAACTACTGGCGAACGTATAAGATTATAACACTAGAAAACACAACATAATCTGAGATACCTTGTCCAACATATTGGTAACAAATTCACCACGACAAACATTTGAAGTGTGTTTTAATACGTCCGAAACTATTTCGGCCGACAGTCCGTTAGCAATTGCGTGTCGGCTCTGTATCTTTTGAATCGAGGGAAGGGAATGTTTACTACTTGGCAGAAATGTTTATCATTAACAAAGGATGTGGACAGTTCAGGAGTTGGCTTTCCCAAAGCAGGATAAATGTCAGTTTGTTTTTATTGGTTTTTACGTCTCATCGACACAGCATATGTCATATGACGAGGTTCCAGCTTTATTGGCTGAGAAAGACCTCAGGTGCCTTTCCGTGCACAAACATGCACCTGAGTAGAACCACTGACGTTCCGTAAGCTAGCTGGATAGCTTCATCACACAAAAGAATCCAAAGTCATTGTCAGGATTCGAATCCACAGCAGTGAGGGGCAAGTGGTTTGAAGTCAACGACCTTAACAACTCGACCACTGATACCCCTTTCGTATAATGTCCGCTCTGTATCTTTTAAAGACTCTTTTTTTAAACTTGACCCTATGGGACAATTTGTTTACTAAAAATCTGGAAACAAAGTGATCCCTCGGAAGCATTTATCACAACATAATAATATGAAAATTGCAGACTCGGTTTGATTAAGTCTGTACATCAGGGATAATGAATAAATGCAACATTCGTCACACCCCCTAGCACCAGCTTGAGCATAACTCAATTCTCAACACTTAATAGTTGCTGGTATCAATGATCCCGAAGTACCCGAAAAATATAACAACATTGAAGATAATAAAGTAAACATGTCTTTCTTAAGAACCTTTTTTCTGCAAAACTGTAATTTCCAAAGCATAGATATTTTAGTAGGACACCCTTGTTGTCTTCTAGAAAAATATTTATTAATCATAACCGTGGGATTAAAATGAGCACCGCCTCGGGGCCACTAATTCAATGTATACTTATAGGGAAAAGATTTAAATATTCGGACATGATTCATTAATAGGTCTCCTCCCTTATTTGACGATAACTTTTGATTGGTTACGCAAATTTGTAGCAGGCCAAATATTGTACCGCCTTTGCGGTGCTTTTGTTTTTTCACTTTCGGGTTACCTTCAATGATGACGATATGTTCTAAAATATTATCAGATTAAACCCCATCAACTTTGTTGAAACGAAAGCGACACGTTCGTTCAGAGTCCTTTGTCATAAATCAAAATAACTATTTTAATATCTATAAAGTAAAATCAAGATAATTTTAAAGTAATATGAGGCCGCCAATTAACCGATTTACAACTATTTTCCATATAAGCATTTGCTATTTAACCCTTAGCCAGCTGGCATTTGATTCATACCATGCCACCGTGCCGCCTGACCATGGTCTGCATTCTTCGTAATTTAGTCAATTTTCCCTATGTATGATGAATGGTTTTGTTCTTATTAAAAAAATGGACAAAAAATATAAAGCGAAGCGTGCTAAGGTATTAAAACTATTCAACGAATAACAATAGTAAATGAGCATGACCTGATATTAACAATTTTACTGTCTGCACAAAAGCAAAAGGAACACGTTTGCATTTTTCAATTTAAATATAATGAAAAATTGACAAAATATTTATGTTATATTTACGGTCTAGGTCAATTTTTTTTCTTGTTTTGTTTTGTTTTTTGTTTGTTTTGTGTTTTGTTTGTTGTTTGCTTGTTGTGGTTTTTGTTTCTTGTTAGGGTTTTTTACTATACTAATTGTTATTTGTTGTTGTTTTGTGTTGTTGTTTTTGTTGTTTGTTTTGAATTTTTGGGGGTTTTTGTTCTGTTTTGGGGCGTTTTTAAGGGTGAGTGTTCAGGTCGCACCAACACAGTAAAGGTCATTGATGGCGACTTTCAAGCTTTACTGATGTGTTATGGTGGAGGAAGACCTCATGTGCCCTTCAATTGTAAATAATTTACGTTAGAATATCCATCAATTAGAATTTATAGATTTATTTCCGGGGAATGCCGATCATTCAGGACAGGCAAATTAAATAGATGACACTCGATGTACATTTGAAAACGTTTAACTAAATTCACCCGACTAAAACGATTCACTCCCTCGAATAGTACTAATAGATATAAAATGATATGAAGACAAAAACAAGTTTAAAACATCAGTTTTCACGTTTCGGCCTGAAGCATGTATTGAATATTTTAACGATTTGTTTACATCTTGATCATACTCGTATATTTTATGTCCGAGCATAAACGGTAAAAAATATCTGATAACGCTGATGATGTAGAGACATAAAGTGAAATAGAAAATAAAAAGTTAAAACAAATCGTGAAATAGGAAGTCGAAAACGCGTACGGATTATGCTTAATATCAGAGCGCACCATAGAATGCAGAAATTGAAATACAAATTCTGGTATGTAATATAGCTCATTAATTAATTAATTTAATTATCATAGTTTAAATAACACGATAAAGGCACAACTCAATAAAATTATGTAAACGATTTCAGGTATTTTGTTTTATTATTATTATTATTATTATTAAAGTTTCTTGCATTAAAATATTTGATTAAATACAAATTGACATTGGCTGACATTGAATATTACGAAGAATTTCTTTTAAATTTTCAGTCGATAAAGCACAGGAATTATTCTACCTGAAAATGGGTAAGAACCTAAATAGTGTATTTTTTATCATTTAATCTAAGCAAGCTTGCGGTATCAGATTCTACCCAGCACATCCTTACGATCTGATCATGTTCTGCTTTGTTCCCTATTCAATCACTACAGTGAAAATTTCCCTAAAAGTGATGCATTGTTTTGGCCTGATTGAAAGAGGGACAAGTTCATATAATATATATAGCCGGGAAAGGGTTAAATCAGATAAATAGATAAATACGTGAATAAAAAACTAAAAAACTTTCCCTAAAAAATTACTCTTTTTCGTCAATCTCCTTTTCGCAAAAGTGTTACTTATAAAGTTAATAAAGGGATTTTAAACACTAGACAAATTTTATTTACATTGTAATTGTGTTAATTTTATATTATGTTTAATGACTTTGTGATTTTAAAGCAATATAAATTGTTTCGTAGAGGTATATATTTATCTTCAACAATGAGGACTGGGAATGGCCATAAGGTATTGAAAAGATATAATCGTCGGCGTTACAGTAGTTGTGTTATTTCTCCTTCATTATCGTACATGCCTGCTGGACTTTTGTAGTTGTGTTGCCCTGCTTAAAATTTGGTTGTGTTGCCCTGCTTAATATTTGCACTAAGTTAAGTTTTAAGAAAAAAATCAAAATCAAAATTTAAATAAAATGAGGTAGAAACAGTTCAGATCGCGGTCGGACTTAATGGATCTACAGGCTAGCCTGTCTCTTTACTTTTGACAAAGGCCAAATTCTTTCGGTCCCAGAAGGCCAAGGTTTAAGGAATGGCAGGAGGAACATTCATTATAATAAACGTCTCATTTTTATGCGTTTTGTAAGAAATTTATGCAAGAAAAGGGTATTGTACTTAAGTATCTAATTCAAATTCATGATTGTTGATATTTATTCTACTTATTAAGATGCATAACCACGATCTTACATATTACCATTCAATTAGCATACAGAATAAACATGTATGCATGTTGTTAAAATCGTGGATTAAAGGTTAGTTATTATGAAATGGTAACTTATGTCAGAAAAAAAACAAAATAAAAAACAATCAGCCTTTTTTAATTTTAAATTAGAAATCACTTTACCCGAATAATTAATGACCTTCTGCTATCTCTTTCCACATTGGTATTACAGCCTAATTTAAAAACATATTGATAATAATGCCGGGCTCAATTTCCTATTAGAATATCCAGCTTATAAAAAAACAGCAAAAATCAACTACAGTATTAAATGTGTATGCCTGTACTGTTGTCTTTCTATTCATTTCTTTTTTTTTACATTAAAGCGAGCTCCAGTTTTTATTTTCTGTTGGAGGAAAAATATGTTGTTTCAAACTAAGACTTTCAGTAATATTAACTTGGAAAAGTACATGATATGAGCCGCGTCACGACAAAACCAACATAATGCGTTTGCGACCAGCATGGATCCAGGCCAGCCTGCACATCCTTGCAGTCTGATAAGGATCCATGCTGTTCACTTACAAACCCTTTAACAAGTAGAGAAACTGATAGCCAACTAAATGGATCCTGATCAGACTGTGCGGATGCGCAGGCTGGTCTGGATCCATACTGGTCGCAAACCCATTATGTTGGTTTTGTCGTGGCGCAGCTCATATCATTGTTAAGCCTTCTTTAAAACAACGTCCGGAGACCAATTTATTACGAGTAAGTGCTCGTTTCTAACAAAAGAAGATCAGATCGGGAAACAAATCAACCGCTTTTAAAGCAGCATGTCTCAAGATTCTTGCTAATTTTCATGAAATTTTTGAAACTGTATTTAAAAGTAAAATATTGCGAAGTTAACAAAACAAATAATTTACACAATGCAAACAGCACTTGCAGTCCACGTGAATTACCACAAAAGAGGTCAATATAAGCAAAATAGCCCTTACTGCGTTAGTAACGCAGTAGAAATATGATGGTAAATACTGCAAAATCAGTCATTGCATGTAAATTATTTCATGAATCTAGAAGCTTTATACTTTTCTCAAGTTTAACTTTCTTGAAATATTTTGGCTCATCTGGAGGCATGCAGCTTTAAAAACAAAATGTATATAGAGCGGAAAGGTATTTAAGAGGTATCGGGGTGTTTCCGAATTGTTTACGTATTTTGTCGTAGGCAAATTTCATTTTCTGCCTTAATTATTTTAATTTGACAATTATATGAAAAGATTTATCAAAGAAATAACATATTTAACCTTTAGAAAAGCTGAAGACCACTTTAAATGTAACATTATCTGTTCTGTCAGTTCAACACCGTCGTTTCCTTTGTGTTTGTAAATGTAGTTAAATATTGTTTTTTATTCTTTTATTTTGAATTTATTGATGTTTTCCTTGCAACAAAAAAAAAAGCTGTTAACGCTGTTTTCAATATTTACATTGACAATTTCATAGGGTTCGACATTGTTAATATTACGAATGCCAATTTCTAACATTTTAAAATGAATGCTTTAATTCATAAAATAAGACAGAAGTTTATTTACGGCCGCTAGAATAGTCTGCGGATAACATAATGATTATGGACCAGACGCATCGGGTAAAAACACACACACAAAACAGCGAATGTGTTGTTAGCTTTTCTTTACCAAACTTTCTAATTGATATTCCTTTCCTCTACTATTTTCTTCAAAAAATACTCTATGATCTTACATACAAAAGTTTCAAAGGCCTTTGGTATCAAAACAAGCACCAAAAGAATAAAACTACAGACATCTTTTTATCATTACCTCATCCTTATTTCCTAACTATGTAGTTTGAACATTTGTAGTGAGTTATATATGTAGCAAGTATTAGGACTTTACGTATGTAGTTGTTATATACTTGAAATATAGTTGAAATATTCAGTTCGTTTTAGGAGTTAACGTAAATTCATGTAGTTCTGTTTTTGTTGTTTGTTGTTGTTCTTGAGGATGTTTTTGCTGTTGTCTTTTTTATTTATTGAAAAAATGTAATTTCGTATTTAAAAGTTTATATATTATGTAGTTTGTGTTACTAGATGAAATATAGTTTGTATTACGAGTTTACATGCAATTATGCAAGTAAATATATATAGATTTTATTAGGAGTTTACATATGTACTTTGTATGATAGGTTTCAATTTGTAGTTCATATGATTAGTGTATGCATTTTGTATGTTGAGTTTTCACATGTTTATGAAGTTTGTATGTGGAGTTTATACATGTGTATGCAGTTTGTATGGTGTGGTTATCATAATAAGTTTACATGTTGTAAGTATGAGGCGATTACATAGTTATGATCTTTGTATAAGTGGTTTACACATGGAGTAAAAATAAGGAGTTATCATATGCAGTGTGTTAAAGTTAGCATATATAGTTTGTATTATATTTTTTTACATAAGACTATTTTATTCCCTGCGGTCTGGAAACCGCAGGGTATTGGTACGCGTTTAACTTTTGAGGCATGGAGGGGCACGTGACCTGTTTTCGGTACATGGAGGAGCATGTGATCTGTTAACCGTACATGATTGGTTAAAAGACCTTTTCGAAATCCTAGCTAAATACCGTTTGCCGGTACGTTACGGATTTACATGTATTGAATTAGTTCGAATTACACCTCATTAAGAACAAAAAACTATTACGGGATATTTCTAATTTTCTATAATTATTTGACCGTTTAAGGTGGAAAAACTTGAATGATGTGTTTGATTATTATCAATATTTCTTTATTATCTATTTTAATTTTACAAACAATAAATTGTTTACACTGAAAATCTACAAAATTAAAATATTCGTAGTGGTATCTGCCATAATAAATAGAGATATTTTCCGCGTAAACTTGTGTGTTTACTTTATTTTTTGCTCGAAATTATTGATAAAATGGTAGGCCTATTTAATCATTTTCTTAAAAAGAATTAATTGTTTTATGTTCGACGTTCTCCGGTCTTCAACGGTCACTAGTTTCCAAAGACCTTCTTCTATATTGATCGTTTATTCAATTGTCAACTATATTCCTGATACAAATGTTTATTTATTCCCTCCAAATAATGTTGAAAATAGTGAAATGAAATATCTGTATATCATTAAAATGTTCACCGCAGGAAGCCATTTTACTTGTAAGGAATTCACATGTGTAATAATTACAAGGTGTGTTCCTATGTTCTTCCTATTAGGAGTTTATATCTGCAACAAGTATGAGAAGTTAGCATGGTTATTATGTATGATGTGTATACATATGTAGTTTTTATGAGGAGTTTACATCGGTAGTAAGCATGAAAAGTTTAAATATGTATAATCATTATGTATGAAAAGTTTACATATGTAGTTAGTATGAAAAGTTTACATAATAAGGTAGTATGTATGAGGAGTTTGCATATGTAGTTTGTATGACTGGTTTAAATATGTAATTTGTATGAGAAGTTTACTTGTGGTAGTTTTTCAAGCTTTAACTCTTGTTGCACTAGAGCGGCGTTGTCACGGCGTCCAAAGAAAATTCAGAACGCCACGGTGAGCGCAGTAAGACCGCAAACATCGCCGTAGCATCACCCCAGCATTGCTCAAAACAAACGCACCACTCGGCGTTCTGATAAGAGCGCAGTGGGATCGCAGTAAGGACGCGGTAGCAACTCAGTAGCATCTCCTACAACGCGACAGGAGCGCCGTGAAAGCGCATAAGGACCGGCGAATGAACGCCATGGTTAGCCACGGCGCTTGTACGGAGAGTGTGCGTCGTCTCTACGGCGACTATACTGCGTGTGTACGGCGCTTGTACGGTGTTTACTTTTCTCAAACGCTCTCACTGCGACTTTATGGCACTGTCACGGTGACCTTTGCGCTCTCAATGCGATTCTACTGCGTGCATCTGATATTGCAGAATGCAGAACAGTAGAATCCCTACTTAAGACCACTCCGGAATTTAGATCACCCCTGTATTAAGACCAATTCTTAAAAGAACGAGATTTTCGGTTATATATGTGAATGGTAGCATGGTCTACAGTTAAGACCACACCACTTATCCACTGTTAAGACCACCAGTTTCAGTTCCAATTCATTGTTTTATTTATTTAACCCCACTATTGAGACCAATGATATTCCAGTCAATACATATTTAGATCACGAGTTTATTGTTATTCATCTGCTTGAATTCTCAAAGCATGGTACTTGATGAAACAAGGTGATGCAACTGTTATGATTGAAAAATTGTATAAAGGTGAGAAAATGAACTTCAGAGTGGTATTATGTTATTTACTGCAACTTTATATTGTAAGGAATTAATTTCCTAATTAATAAGTGAATTATGTACATGAAATAAGACCTATGAAAATCAATCTTTCATATTAAATACCTTCAGTCTTAAGTTCTTGTTAGGATTGAAAAATTATAACATCAGTTTATAGTAATATGTGAAGGTTATAATATAATTGTTTGAACATGATTACACATAAAAAATCAAATAAAGTGGTCATGAAACATATATGTCTTGATAATAATAGCTAAAATTAAGACCATCCGCAATTACGATCACTGTGACTTTAATCCAGTCCTTTTGGTGGCCTTAATAGAGGGTTTCTACTGTACATATATAAAATGTGTTTGAAAGTAAATGTCCTTTTAACCATGGATCATGAACGGCAGCAAGCTGGAATGTTGCTTGCTCGCATGCAGTTGCAGCAGGTACACGACTATTCAGAATCAGTAATAGCTGGTATATGTAGCACGATATAAGCGCAGTGTGAACGTCGCGAGAGCGCCGTGTAAGCGCCGTGAAAGCGCAGTGGAAGCGCAAAGAACTCAGTAGAAGCGCAGTTTAAACGCAGATAATCGCCAATTAAAACACCGTAACGCGTTATAACGCCGTGGAAGCTCCGTAGCAACACCATGATCACCGTGAGGACGCCGTGAAGTTTCAATGTCATCAAAAATATTAGGTTTTTTCTTTCGATCTCGCTGCGCTTTGTTAAATTTAACAACGCCGTGCAAACGCAGTATAAGCGCAGTCTAGTGTGACAGGGCCTTTACATTCATTCTTTTCATACTAATTTTAATTGAATGGTACCATTACATTTGTATTTCAATATTTCAGAATTCAAATGACTATGAGTTGATGATAGCAAAAGGTAAAATTCCTCGCAAAAGATGCGGATAAAAAGTTCTTTTCCTTTCCGTCTATGAGAAAGGGATTCTTCAAAAGATACAGTGTCATCATTGTGCAATCTTTTCATGAAGCCGAGTGCAAATTACAAAATGAAATAACACTATTTATAACACAGCCTAGAATAAAAATTTCTATGTAATACACACACGAATGTATGTTCTATTATATGTAATTTGAGAAGAAGTACAGTTGTATATCAAAAATTTGGTTTTGGAAAGAAACAAAATGTTTAATTTCCACAACAGATCAAATCAAATCAAAACAATGCTGGTTTTGATTGCTTGCTCTAGTGTTGTTATAGTTGGCTTCACAAGACTGAACTTTCCATTAGTAAAAACGTTGCTTACAGAAAACAATGTAAACCGTATGTCATTTATAAACAGGTCTAACACGAGCAACAAAAACACATCAACTGTTTTTGCACTGAAAAGCGATAAAATAACAAATAATGACGTGTTAAAGGAATCGCTTTTAAATCATAGTGCAATAAATTTCAGAAACAATTCCAATGTCAAACACATGTATGTGTCGGTTTACAAAATTGGAATACTAATTCCGTCCACGACAAGAAATATAAAAAATCCGTCTTTGAATAAATTGAGTCTTATCAATAAATGTATACCATCCATATTTAAATTCATTGAAAAGAAATATAATTTTCTAATCTACATTGGAGTTGATAAAGGGGATTACCTTGAAACAGTTAAGCATGAACTTGAGACAATGTTTGATAAAATAAAAGTTGTGGTGACAATTGGCGGATCATTTACAAAAACTGCCAATGCAATAGCTAGAGAAGCTTATACAGATGGTATGGATTATTTAGTTCGTATAAATGATGATACAACGTTTGAAACAAACAACTGGACTTCTCAAGGGATAAAAGTATTACAGAACTTTTCTCCGCCGAATATAGGCGTTGTAGGGCCAACTTGTAGACAGGGCAATACCGCCATTTTAACACATGATATGGTACATCGGACACATTTGGAGATTTTTGATTTTTACTACCCTCCATACTTTGATAATTGGTGGTCAGATGATTGGATAACAAGGGTGTACCAACCGAATCGCTCAACTAAATTAAACACATGGGTGGTAAAACATCATTTATCTGCACATAACACTAGATACAAAGTGGACTTAAAACAACATTCCCGACTTGATAAGACTTTAATGTTTGATCTAGAAAGACTTTCGAAATATCTGGAAAGTCATAACCGATCACGACACACCCTTTGAGGGTTCTTCTTACTAAATGGCATCGAATTCTTAGATAAAGAATATTGTAAAAGCCAATTATGAAATAGATAATGCATTTAAGGGCAATGACAGTGGTTTGATATACTTTATAAAAACATATTTGTATTTTTATTATTTAACCTAATTTACTGCCCGCTTATGACTCGAGATCAAAAGCAAGTGAGACGTGAATTTGACTAAATTGTTGATCATTCACTGATATCAAGAGGGTAAAAAAGTGTATCATAGCAAACAGAGCGAAAGAAAACAAATAAAGAAACTCAAGATTGACCTAAATACATTCATACTCTAGAAGACGAATATTTTGAAAACTGCAAAGCTTGTTGATAGATTTTATAAATTTATATTTAATCTGTGGTAAATGTCCCAATAATGCTGAAGTATCATCCGTAGCTTACAATTCGAAGGCCAACAAATGATTTAAATACAACTATGTCAAAATAATTCTTGTACAAATTACTTTGTCAAGTAAAAAACTCGTATGTTCATAAATCTGAAATAAGTACAAATCATTATCTGACATTTAAAACTTGCACAATTTATACATTATTCTTCAAAAATATTTTAGATTCAAATTCATTAGATATCAAATAATGACTGTTTATTTTGCGATGTCATCTGCAACCATAATACTATAACCTAGATTTTCATATAATGTAGCAGTCATAACGTTAAAAAATATGATATCAAAGGTTTTCAAACCTTGTCCAAAGATCATTTATTTTCAGCACTTAATTTGCCATTTCTCTCTCTCCCTCACAAATATTGACAATAAGATAATTATATATTTTGATATTATTTGCAGCGATTGCTCTTAACAATTTACCACATTAGTTTTTTTGTTCATCATGATTTCTGTACCAAAGAATTGTCGAACTTCTTTAATTTATTTTTTATGTTTCTTTCATGCATGACAAACAAACATTTCATTTAAGTTAAATTCTTAAATTCATTTCTGAAAAGAAGAATTCTACAAATTAAAATTGAACAAACATAAACAAAACAAACTTATATCTGAGAGGTTTAAAAGAAGATGAATTATATTGATTAAACGCATAATTATATGATATTCGACAAATTTGTTCTTCAAGTTTATAATTTTTATTATATGATAATATACTGTTCGTAGTAAGAAATAATGGAATTAAAAAAGGTTAGAACGCATTTTATTACAGAAAAAAAATCTGATCATTTAACAAATTAAAGAATTATTTCCAATGAAATTAATAAAAGAACTGGAGTATGTGTTTTTTTCATTTCCCGATTTCTGTCTAACATACTAACTATATAAGGCCAAACAATATTTTATAATTTTTGAAATAAAGATTTTTGAAAATTTTATGAATGATTATATCATATATTCTGTTTTGTGCTCTACCGGACCATTTGCCTAGGGCTCTGTGTAGCCGATTTTTGTAGATGATGCATTCAATGAACGCCGCCCTTCCCTGTTGATCTTTGTTTCCTTTTGCGATGGTTCAAATAACACGGGGGAGGAAGTGTTACACGAAGGATGGTGTTCTTATGATAACTTGTTCAGGAGTTCTTGTGATAACTGTCAATGAGTTCGTCGGAAAACATCTGTATATACTACAAAAACACTCGTTAGAAAATGTTATTTTCATCATTCCAAAATTAGTTTTAGATGTTAAATTAAACTTTAATGATTAAGCGTGCCTTACATCTTGTATTATATGTCAAAAACTAATTCACCGGCTGTTTTTCATCGCCTCTTGCTTCAAATCTGGTAGTTTTGAGTAAAATTTCAAAATTATTTGCCAATTCACAAGTATTGACCTGTTTATTTCTGGTCTTCATCCTTGCCATACATAATTACCTAATTATAATGCAAAATTGCAAACATAAAGCACCGGCTAACAGATTTATACTTGATTTTTTCAAATGTCCCGGAGTTCTTGTGATAACTCTGAAGATGTCACAGAGTTCTTATGATAACTTTTATTATTGCCAGTGTGTTTCTTGCATTTTTTCATTATAATGAGGTAATTATGTATGGCAAGGATGAAGACCAGAAATAAACAAGTCAAAACTTGTGAATTAGCAAGTTATTTGGAATTTTTACTCAAAACTACCAGATTTGAAGCAAGAGGCGATGAAAAACAGCCTGTTTATTAGTTTTTGACACATAAAACAAGATGTAAGACAAGCTTAATCATTAAAGTTTAATTTAACACCAGAAACTCATTTTGGAAAGATGAAAATAACCATTTTAAACGAGTGTTTTTGTAGCATATACAGATGTTTTCCGACGAACTCCGTGACAGTTATCACAGGAACTCCTGAACAAGTTATCATAAGAACTCCATCCTTCGTGTAACACTTCCTCCCCCGTGAATAACAACTGATTTGATTTTGCTACGGATGTGAAGGTAAGCAAAAGTGTTAACCGTTAAAACGGTGACTTAGTAACCGTGTTTACCGACCGTACTAAAATAATTCCTTGAATTTTAACATTTACTATTTTTATCGATATAAAGGTTGTGTGTGTCTTTTGTTGTACTCAACAACAATTATAAAACAGATTCTTTTATGACCGTAAGGACAGGAACGAACACGATAAGGTAGCATGCAATCGGGAAGAAAATAGATTTATAGACAAAATGAAATGTCGTATCTTGACACAAAGAAGCAAAAGTTATGTTTAAAATCAATCTAAAAAGGTATTCAGCCTCGGTTAAGGGTTATTGAAATTTCTAATCGGTTTTACGCTAAAAACCGACCGAACAAGTTTAAACAGATAAACGAGACGCCCCTTATTATTATTTGCTTCAATTTTCGTTATTGAAAAATAATTTGTTAGAGCATCACATAAAAGGGCTTTTCACATAAAAGCGCTTTATAGCTTGCTTGAGCTCGTTTGCTTTACACTTTGCCTTTTGTTGCAGTTTCAAATCAAATTCAAGAGTCTTATAGGACGCCAATTTGATAAAGATGATATTTTTATAAAAGACAGTTCTCCGATTTTAGTGTGGACGTTAAGTGTTTTGTCGCAAGTTAATAACTAATTTATCTAGGAGACTTAAATTGTATCCCAAAAGACTTCCAATAAGATTTCTTTCTTTCTTTTATTTTTTTAATTTTTTTTAAACAATTGACTTTCTCTTAAAAGGTTTAAGAAGGTTTAAAGAAGTCATATTTTGAAAAATAAAATATAATTGTCCTTTTTATTAAGCATACATGCTTTCAAGACACGAATAAACATAACTAAATATTTAACAAATATTAACAGTAGACAATAATATAATACTCCCTGCTGTGTCATATTTATTATTTATGTGGTTATGAATATGGGAGGAACTTGCCGTTAGTTCTTCAATGCAAAATGTGGACCTATGTTTTAGTGTCAATAAATATCATTCATGATGAGATAGAATTATATGTTTTGCCATGAATAGCACGGAAACATGACATTTTGTCAATAATAATCATTTTATTTGCCAATAAATGAAATGTTACCAAAGCTGGCGCGTACAGAAAAGTAACTGTGAATGTTGAAAGTTCTTAATTGAAACAAAACTAAAAAAGTAACAGTATTGACACTCACTATTCATGCTGAGACTGAGCGAAGAATCAACGACAAAAGGTATTATGTTTGAACTGCGTTTTCCCCTTCCTTTTGTTTAATCTAAACACATGTAATGGAAAATAATTACACACACAAACACAATATCTAAAGGATTGTGATTAACGTAAAATTGGCTTATCGTTGAGGATATATTTTACATTTGAATACTCGATATATACATCCCTTGAATGCATGAGAACTTCGATCCTATTTATCAATTTTTGTATCCAAGTTCCTTTTCAGAAGTTGTGTCTACATTTATCCGTTTATTTTAAACGTGTTGGGTCGATATGTTTGCCTAAAACCGATTAGAGATTACAATAACCGGTAACTGAAGTTAGTTGAAAACCTTAGAAATTTCAGATTGATTATAAATATTATATTTTATTCTTTATGTCAAGATATGATCTATTTTTTCGATTGCATGCTATCTTATCTTGTACGGTACGGTCCTTTCGAATAACAGTCAATCCATAATAGAATGTTTTGTTATTGTTGTTGAGTACAACGAAATACACACACTGTGTTTTTATCACTAAAATAATTTTAAAATCGAAGAATTCTTTTAGTACGGCCGGTTGAACATTTAACTTAGTTATTTTGTTAACAACAACAACTTTTATTTACAATCAGGTCACATAAATGCAACAACATTATCAAAAAGTTTGTTCTTATTGTGGTCGTTTCAATTATATTTTCAAACAATATCTAATTAAACAGAAAGACTCAAGCTATATGAAAGTAATATTAATAATATTAGTGGAGACAGAAGTTCTCGTAGGCAACAATTTAACAAGATACACTTTAGCAGTAAGTTTTTTTTTTCTCTAGAAAAATAAAGCATCTTCGTATATTAAAAAAAGATTGAATATGGTAATTTTAAATCCAACGGAACAAATTGAAATCATTACACCGTTGGCTAATAATTTCTACAACAAATCTAAAATGCGTACATACTACCCAGTGTGCAAATAATAAATGTATTTATTATTCAATGTAGTATTCCAATTGATATTAAGTCGCCGTTTAACATTTTTGCTAACACCCCTACTTTTTACCTAATTCAAAACCATTTATATTGATTGTGAATGAATACCTTTGAATTTTTGGCCTCATTTCTTATATTAACAATGCAAATATATATACATACTTCTGACATAAACCGAGTCAAGTAAAACAAAACAATATTGAAACGATTCACATACAATTGATTAAAACATATGAGTAAAATTGTTGAGTTTCAGACATTCAACAAATAAACTTAACTTTTGAATTCCTAAACTTCTAAAACTTCTGAAATCCAGTCAGGTGAGGTTTCTAGATCTATCCTTTTATGTTCTATGTATTTATTTCTTTTGAATTCCAGAACCTCTGAATATATATTACGGACGGACGAAGGAAAGACCTTGTAAACTTTGGATGATATTGGTTATAATTTACTTTCAAAATCATGAAATTGCGAAAGGTGTGTACGATTAATACATTTGAGATCTTTCATTGTGAGCTTGTGT